GAAAAAAGTCGAAGAAATTATGACATAAAACTCAAAATTATGACAGAGAAAATCAAAACATGTTTAGATAGTCAAAATGAAGAGATAAAAAGTTGAAATTGTGAGATAAAACGTTGAAATGATGACTTTCTTGATTTTGAGATTGACCAAAAGTACACACTAAGTTATAATTTTGAAATTAGTCTAAGTTATGACATGAAAATATAAATTATGGCATAAAAATTGAGTTAATGAGATAAAAAGTTGAAATTATGTCATACTGTTATATTTATGAGATGAAGAGTTGAAATTATAATGTCAATTATGACATAAAAAGTTGCAATTATGACATCAAGTCATAACTGAGATGATAATACTTAATAATTATAATAATAATATAAACATAGTATGTCTTAATTTAAACTTTTCATCTCATTATGTCATAGTTATGTTATATAATATTTTGATATATTGTTTTGATATATATGTAATGCCAAAATTGTTATATTTATGTCATAATTATGATTATGTCATAATTTTGACTTTTTAAATCTCATATTATTCACTTGACTATTTTTTTTTTCTTATATGGCAGGAACTGTCTTGCAAAATGGATTCTTATTTCCACCATGGAATGAATATATTTTTATAAAAAGGAAAATGTGATTTTTTTGTGTGAGTTGGAATCAAGTTCTAAACTTACATTTTGAGTCCACATCTCCGAAATCTGGAATCTTTCTTCCCGGGAAAACAGAAATATGCCGTAGATGAGGTATGGGTAACACTTTATTTAAATCTGTTATATGTAATGCATTATAAAGCTATTCATAATGCATGCTGCAATGCATTATATCTTTTCATAAATTGTAGCCTATAAGAGTGAATTTTAACTGGTTTTAATTATTTATGAGAACAGTGCATTATAAGATGCATGATCAATATTTTTATAATCCATATACATAAAAGCTTCAAGTAAAGTATTACTGATTTGCATTTCTGGCTCCAAATGTTTGTCCAATCAAAACCAGACTGTCTAATTCCAGTGGAGGCTGTGTGTTGTGTGTTTGGCTGTGTGTTAAAACACTCCGAGACAGAAATGCTGTTCTCACAGATTCACTGCTGCTTATTTTCACCCCTGATGTCCTTTGAGTCGCTCAGACCCATAAAAGATGCTTTTACTGTACACAAAATCCTCCGTATGTGAATAACAGACACAAATGAAGCTGTTTTAGTACATCAGAGTAAATGTGAGTCTGAACATCATGTCCATCCAAACCCATGGCTTTCTTTCTCCTGTACTGAAGCAATCGTGGAGTAATTGAGGTCAAACTCCTTCAGAAGGAGCGTTTAGTGTCGAACCCTTCGAGGGCTGGGATTTAACATTCCTGAGGTTGTTCACCTCAGGTGTGTGTGTGTGTGTTTGAGGCCTTGAGGACTCAGGTGTGTGTGTGTGTGTATGTGTGCTGGAACCATTGCCATGATGAAGATGCACTTAAAAACATCAACATCCAGCTAGAACGTGTGTCCGCCACAGAATAAAACATTTAAATGATAATTGCGACCTTTTATCTTAAAATTGCAAGTTTATAGATATAAAGTCGCAATTGCGAAATTAAGAGTCCTATTCTAAGGAAAATGCAATTCTGATTTAAAGTCGCAATTGCGTTCTAAGAGAAAAACTTTATATCTCACAATTCTGACGTTATATTACGCAATTCTTATATAAAGTCACAATTGTATGTTATAAAGTGTGACAAAAAGACAAAATTGCGAGTTTATATCTCACAATTCTGATATTATAACTCGCATTTTTGCGACTTTATGTCACGCTCACGCAGTTCTGACTACGCAAGCGACTTTACATCAGAATTGTGATATGTAAAAAGTCAGAATTGTGAGATAAAAGTTGCAATTACCTTTTTTATTGTTTATTCTTTGCCGGAGACAACGCTACTGGATTGGTTTAAATACTCTAGTCAAGAACAAAAATCTCGATTGTAGTTTTTTTTTTCTCTACAGATAATAATAAAAGCCCGTTGACAGGATAACTACTAACTATTAGCGTTCATACTTTAACAATAGCGTTCTGATTATTATTCAGTTTTGTACACTGTCACTTTAAATGCTCGCGCTATTTAGGGCAGAATCGATTCTGATTGGCTGTCAATGTTTTTATCAGGGAAAAAATCGTTATGAACGCGATTCCATGAAAATAGCTAGTTCTGCTGTGAATTTATCATTACAGTTGTGATGTGCATTTAGAGCGATTTTTATCGATTATTTCGGTTTCATTTTCAAGTTTGATCTTCTGTTTTACCTCATTCTTAGGTATTTAAACTCTTTAACCAAGCCACTAAACATAGTTCATCACAGACTGAGTTTATAGTCTATAAATCCTATATGATGAATGTATGTTTATTTGATAGCACTTCTGCTGAAGATTTTTCGCTAAACCCCCTCTCGATGAATCATTTAAGGCATATATATATATATATATATATATATATATATATATCACCATACTTACCGAGTTGATTGCTTACATTTAGAATAAGTTTTATGAAATGTTATGTTTAAATATTTTGATTAATAATTAAATATGCACTAATTTGCATACATTTCTAGAACAGGTCCAAAATTCTTGTTTAATTTATTGAAACATATTCGAGTCAAAGGGGATTTTGAACTTTTTTTTAACACAATTTATCACTCAAAAAGCCAAAAAATACTGTCAACAGCCAGAATTTTTTTTTGTCACAATTTCTTTATAATAATATATTTCTAGTCCAATATGTACAGTTTTTTTTTCTGGCAGAGTCTTAATAAAAAACCTCTGAAACTGAAAGTCTGTTAAAATCATCCGATTTTCCACATAATACAGGATCCTCGTAAAGAAAGTGAAGAGACAGAATCTGGTGAAAGGTTTTATTAGTTTGAACTTTCTACCTCTCGTCTGGTTGTGTCAGAAAAGAAAGTTACAAAACATCTACAATCTCTCCAGCGTGGCAAAAATCATGACCTTTGACCTGTACAAAACATCACGACTCTGTCATTTACAGCAAACCTAAACGAGCAGAGTTAAATATCGTTATCCTACATCATCTAGCATGCCTGAAACTCAAGCGTATAATTGAAGTACGTGACGACCTACAGACGACCCACAATGCACCTCAATACATCACTAATAAAGTCAACGACTACAGTTTTCCAGCAAACCTCCACGAAACGCTCTCAGATTCACTTGACCTTGACCTTCCATCCTTCGCTTTGACCCTGAAACGACCCGCTGTGGGTGTGTCTTTGTCTTCGAGTCCACAATGCAACATCTCATCGGGTTCACACAGCAGAAATCATTCCTTAATTAGTCTCCTGTCTTGATTTTCAAATATCCTTAAAACGAGATCAGTTCCCCGTGAAGAAACGGCACGAGACATTAAGACTTGTTTCCAGAACATTCCTCGAGAGTTCAGCTTTCCTTTTGACCCACAGGCAAATGTGTTCTTGTTTTAGAACACGGACTGTGTGTGTGTGTGTGAGAGAGAGTGTGTAAGTGAGTCTGAGTGTGTGTTAGAGTTTGTGTGTGTGTGTGAGAGAGAGAGAGATAGATAGATAGAGAGTGTGTGAGAGAGAGTGTGTGGGTATTTATTCTTGTTTTAAGTATAAATATATACTTTTTAATGTTTATATATTATTTTATAAGTTCATTTCTCCAGATAATCAAACCCATGACCTTTGTGTTTAGGATCTCGAAACACTTTGTCCATCAGTAAGCAAGACGAGCGCAGTGATTGGGTGATGTGTGTGTGTGTGTGTGTGTGTGTGTGCAGTGACTGAACCAGGGGCGTAGCCAGAATTTTATTTTTGGGGGTTCCCGTCTTTAAATGAGGGGGCAACATTATTTATATATACTACATATCAAGTTGATCTTTCCGTACTTTTTTTTAAAAAGTGTAATATTGTACTTTGAGTTTGAGCGCCTGCCATTGTCACGGCATATTAACTCTCACGCAAAGATGAAGATGACAGCGTAAGTTACGCGCAACACGTTATATAAACAAATCAAGTTTGAAAATAAGCTGCATTTTACCGCGCAGCATTTTGATTGGTCAATCTATCAATCCTAATAAAACAACTTTTTTTTTTTTTTTTTTTAAGCAATCAGAAATCTGAGGGGACCGGACATGTAAATGAGGGGGCCTGGGTGGGCTACGCCACTGGGCTGAACACTGGTAAACATGCACATTATGAACGGGTGAAGAGAAATGTTTGGTCCTTAAACACACACACACACACACACACACACAGAGTCAGAAACGTGGAACTGTCGCTCCGCTCGAGTCTTTTGAGTTCAGCAGACGCTCCTTGCAACACAAGTTACGTTCTTCAGTGTCAAACCCTGATACACTCCTAAATCTATTCTCCAGGATACTCCCTGGATTTAGGGAAGCCCAGCTGTGTGTGTGTGTGTGTGTGAAGGGAAATTTCAGTGAGACTCTGTCTCCCTCTGCTGGTCCGTTCCACTAGTGCTGTCCCTGTGACTGAGCTGGTGTGTGTGTGTGTGAAGGGAATCTTCAGTGAGACTCTTGCTGTGTTCGAAATCTCCACTCAAACCCCTACTCCCTATCCCCTATATATGGGGTAGGGAGTAGAGCACTATATAGTGAGCTCACCAGCATAATAGAAACACCACTTTCGGACACTACTCGATCGCGCCGTTGATTACATCACCTGTCAGCTGGTGCCGAGCCGGCTCTGGCTAAATAGATTTTTTAAAATAAACACATTACATTATATTGAGCTTATTTCTCCAAAATTTCAAAATAAAAGTCATTTCTGGCCGTCTCTGTTATAATGCGCTACTCCACACATGATTATAACTTATTTTTACGATCCGCGCAATGCATGATGGTATGTAGGGCTTAGGTTAGTGACCATCGGTTGTACACTACTTTTCAAAATGCATTCTGGGATACATTGAGTGGACTATGTAGGGTATAATAATCATCACTATACATTCGGACAGCATTACAAAATGGCGAGCTCACTATATAGTGAGTAATGGGTGATTTCGGACACAGCGTCTGTCTCCCTCTGCTGGTCCGTTACTCTAGTGCTGTCCCTGTGACTGAGCTGGTGTGTGTGTGTGTGTGTGTGTGTGTGAAGGGAATCTTCAGTGAGACTCTGTCTCCCTCTGCTGGTCCGTTACTCTAGTGCTGTCGCTGTTAATCCTCGAGAGACGCGGCTCTCCTGAAGCTGTTCAGTGTCGCACCTCTTTAACCTGGGTTACCTGAGAGAGAACACACACACACACACACTGTGAGTAGATCATTAATGTTTGTGTGTGTGTGAGAGTGAGTGTGAGTATGAATAAGAGTGTGTTGTTGTCTCTGTGTGTGTGTGTGTTTGTGTGAGAGTGTGTGTGTACCTCTCTCTCATGGACATTGATGGTTGTGTGTTGAGGAAAGCCAGTTGTTGCTCCAGACTACAGACCCGGAACGCCAGATAACAGGATGAGATGATGAGCAAAATAATGCTGGAAAACACAAACACACAGCTGGTTAAAATCCAAACATTCACACTGCCATTATTAAGAATTATGAATATAGTTGTGAATAATTATTATACATTACTATTTGTAATAATATAAAATTCATTTATTTCATTGTGTGTGTGTGTGTGTGTGTGTGTGACTGACAGCAGGATGAAGAACTTGAGCAGGTGATACTCCATGTGACCCAGCTCTGAGACCGGCTCGGTCAGAAGAATCTTCTCGGACTCCAGACGCCGTTCTGAAGAGAAACAACAAACATATAATTCTGTTTAATTCTGTTTCTTCACGAGTTTTTAACAGAAAAAAAACACCCGCTTATTTCAAATACGTAGTTGTGCAACACAAAAACACAAAACCTCCCCATTGTTGGACAGTTAAGTCAATTAACTCTTTTAATTCAATTCGATTCAAATTTATTTCTACAGCGCTTTTCACAACACACATCGTTTCAAAGCAGCTTTACAGAAAGTGCACGAGTCCACATCATAATCTAGAGTGATCTGATATCAGAGGAAACTGTCTCAAAAAATGAGAATATGATGCAAAAGTTCATTTATTTCGGTAATTCAACTTGAAAGGTGAAACTAATATATTATATAGACTCATTACATGCAAAGTGAGATATTTCAAGCCTTTATTTGTTAGAATTTTGATGAATATTGTGAAAAAAAAATTCATATCTGTAATCCATAATCATCAAAATTATAACAAATAAAGGCTTGAAATATCTCACTTGTTCAAATGTTGGCCCATATTTAGGGCCCTATAATTTTTTTTTTTTTCTTTCCCAAATTCCGTTTTTTCCGTTTTAATTTTAGCAAATTCCGTTTTTTTCTGTTTTAATTTTTGGGAATTCAGTTTTTTTTACCCTTTACTGTTATTTTAGTTGTAAAAAGAGCTTTTAATGTTAATGATTAAAATGTACACAAATAAAATAGGCATTTACTCTTAAAATGACAAATACTGCATGATGCAACATAACACTGCACTCTAAGTACTTCAAGTAACAACAAAGTATGGTTATGAGCTTTAAACTGTCCTGTAAAAATAAATTATATTAGTTTATATAAGGTACAATAAAAGTCACACTCTAGCCGTGTCGTAATGTGCATACTATCCATCCTAAATAGTATGTGACATTAGTAACTGTCAATACTATTTCGGGCATAGTATGCACATAGGGACGCAGCTTCCGTCTCTCGCGCGCACTGTCGAGCGCTCTCTCGGACACACTCGGTCTATTGGGTTGAGATCTGGTGACTGTGGCGGCCATTTTAGTACAGTGAACTCATTGTCATGTTCAAGAAACCAATTTGATATGATTCAAGCTTTGTGACATGGTGCAATGAGTGTGCCAAGAAAACATCCCCCACACCATTACACCACCACCACCAGCCTGCACAGTGGGAACAAGGCATGATGGATCCATGTTCTCATTCTGTTTACGCCAACAGAAATCGAGACTCATCAGACCAGGCGACATTTTTCCAGTCTTCAACTGTCCAATTTTGGTGAGCTCTTGCAAATTGTCGCCTCTTTTTCCTATTTGTAGTGGAGATGAGTGGTACCCGGTGGGGTCTTCTGCTGTTGTGGCCCATCCGCCTCAAGGTTGTGTGTGTTGTGCCTTCACTGCATACCTCGGTTGTAACGAGTGGTTATTTCAGTCAAAGTTGCTCTTCTATCAGCTTGAATCAGTCGGCCCATTCTCCTCTGACCTCTCGCATCAACAAGGCATTTTGGCCCACAGGACTGCCGCATACTGGATGATTTTCCCTTTTCAAACCATTATTTGTAAACCCTAGAAATGGTTGTGTGTGAAAATCCCAGTAGCTGAGCAGATTGTGAAATACTCAGACACCAAAAACCATGCCATGCTCAAAACTGCTTAAATCCCCTTTCTTTCCCATCCTGACATTCAGTTTGGAGTTCAGGAGATTGTCTTGACCAGGACCACACCCCTAAAAGCATTGAAGCAACTGCCATGCGATTGGTTGATTAGATAATTGCATTAATGAGAAATTGAACAGGTGTTCCTAATAATCCTTTTTAAGCTTTAACTTTTGCACCATGTTCTCATTTTTCGAGTTTCACCTGTATACAAAATCGAAAAATGTATTCATTTAATGTAATAATTGAATGCAGAAACAATGAGCTCATAGAGGTAATGAATACTTGTGTAATGTGAAACTGAGCATGTAAAGTTCAACGCACCTTCCTCACAATCAAACAACGTGTGGATATTTTCATAACTCGTCACGACATCTGAAGATAAAAGCCTCCAGTCAGAAACATTATCCTTAAAATCAGTGTGTGAACAGTCAGGCGTCACACGTGTGTGTGTGAGCCGCAATAACACACACATATGTGGACACACGTGAAGAACAGAGCAGAGCAGTCGACTGCAGAGCGCAGGATCAACACACATTCAAACATTCGCTTATTCAGACAGTTATGAATTATGATGTTTGCATTACAGTTAAAGAGGATCAAGCGCTTTTTCCATTATGAATAATGTAAATAATTGCTCACCTGACTCACCGAGAGCAACACAAGATCATATATAACTATTCATACTTATTTTGATTCTTAAATTATATATATAATAAAAAAATATATAATGTATAAATAAAAGAACACTATAGAATGCATATATCATTAGCATATGTATAATAAATATATATGATTACTTATATAAAAATATGAATTTTTTAAAATATATTTGTTATATATACACTTGTATTTATTATGTATTAGATAATGTATATCATAAAATATACAATTTAAAATGACTTCAAACTCTTTAATTTCATAATTTATGATTAATTATTTAATTTAATAATGATGTACTATTTTAATGTATTATGTAAATGTGTGTGCATATTACAAAATAAAATAAATAAGTGTATAGAATTTCCTTTATATATATATATATATATATATACATATATATATATGTTTATTTAATTAATGGTATTATTTATTTTTATGTATTTATTTTAAATAAGACGATATATATATATATATATATATATATATATATAAAAGACAATTTATTAATACTGATACAGTAAATTAAATATATTATGAAATAAAATAAATTAGTAATTTGTATGTAATATATTTATGTATATATGAACATAATAAAGTAATATATTTCAAATTCATTAATTACCATTTATATATAAAATATATATACATTTTTTTTTTTTACAATTTAAATGAATAATTATATCCTAATTTATGCTAATATCCATTATATATATGTATATATAAAAATAAATAAATGCATATGTCCAGATATATCTGTGTGTGTGTGTGTGTGTGTGTGTTGTACCCTGCAGTGGCGTCTCAGTGATGTACGGTGTGTCTCCTGCACTCAGACTGCTGGTGGAGTTTCCCAGTAGATCCGGCAGCGATGAAGACACTGATGGAGCCGACGCTTTCCTCCGCCACGTCAACACCGGCGTGAAGTCCGTGCTCACCGGGAACTCATCCTGAACAACAGTGTGTGTGACGTTTAGCTCAAAATACCCCACAGATATGTTTATAGACCATGTTAAAATTGTTACTTTATGAGAGTGAGTTTTTGTGTCTGTCCCTTTAAATGCAAATGAACTTCTGCTCCCGGCACAGGGGGCGGAGCTTCAACAGCTCGTGTCATTTTACCTCAAACACACACACATGCTCTGAACATTTCAACAACGTTTAGTCTCTCATGTTTAAACGGAGTCAGAAAGATGGAGAGACTCAAGAAGAAGGACAATATGTAGATATTCTGGTGATAGCGCCCGGCACGAGTGTGTGTCTTACCGTGGACAGAGACCCCGGCTCCTCCAGAAACTGCTTCAGACTCAAACTCTTCTTCCCGTTCACCTGAGGATCACAAACACACACACACACACCGTCACCTTTCTGCTGTACTCTACATACACTCTCATGCTGTTATTATCAGACCATCAATCACATCCAAAATAAAAGATTGTGTTTACATATACAAAACACATGTGTGTGTACTGTGTATAATTATTTCGTATATAGAAATACACACACACGCATGTATATATATATTTAAGAAATATTTGCACATATATACAGTATATATATTTATACATAATTTATATTATATATTACTTGCAGGTTTATACTCTATATTTTTTTATATGCAATTTCTATTATATTAATGCATGTACAGTATAAATAACTTCTATTACATATACATATAAAAATAACAAATTTTTCTTCAGTATATTACATGCATGTGTGTGTGTGTGTGTGTATTTATATATACAAAATAATTATACAAAGTACACACACATAAATTATGAAAACAAAATCTTTTATCATTTCACAGCCCTAGTTATATTATAATACAATATTATAATGCACCAAAAGCCTGATGATGTGTGTGTGTGTGTCACCTGCAGGTGTGTGCAGATCCTCCTGAGCACGTCATACACACTGTCCCGCGACAGCAGAGACACAAACACATACTGACACAGAGAAAAAAAATTGTTACAATCGAATTAAGTCTCTTAAGCAACTAAACTAAACATATTTAAAGTCCCCCTGTGGTGAAAATACATATAAATATAACATAACAATATTGTGGCACATAAAGCTGCCTCTCAGGACTAAATTTAGTTATTTTTGCTGCTTATTGGGCTTGAGTTAGTGTAACAGTCAAAAACACACTAAATAATGGCAAAATGGCAAGTATTCGTGTAAACAGTCAGTGAATGTAAATATAAAAAGAAAACACACATCTAACAGTATAATGGATACGTGCGTCAGCTCTTAAAGCGACAGCAGCCTAATAAACCTGCTGACAAACTTTGAGATCATATTAAAAATATTACAAAATAAAAGTTAATGTCAAGCCCTGTATGACTGCAAAAAAAGCTTTTATTACTTAGTATTTTTGTCTTGTTTCCAGAACAAATGTGTAAAAATTCTTAAATCAAGAAGCATTTACTAGAGAAGTCAAATGACATCTTGTTTTCTGGGAAAAAAAAAAACTAAATTAAATGAGTTTTTGTTTAAAACAAGCTAAATTAGCTGCCAATGGGGTAAGAACAATTACCTAAAATCAAATTATTTTGGCAGATTTTATCAGAACACAAGATATCATTTCTTCTGTCATTTTACTTGATATTTGGACTGGAAATCAGACAAACGAGTGAGTGAGAAAAGTTTTTATTTTATTTTTTTTGCAGTATATATATATATATATATATATATAATTATGTCAAAGCTTTCTAGGAAATACAATTAAGATATCAACTGGATCTAACTCGTGATTTGTTTTTGTTTATTTTTCTTGGCAAATACAGTATAAAATCTGCCGTCACGCTGGACTTTATATCCAGTGATCTCTCTGAACTGTGTTTTGCATCATCAGTGTTTGATGACGCTGGTGAACCCGCAGATCGCGTGTGTGTGTGTGTGTGTGTGAACTGTTTGCGTACTTCACCTTCTGGCTGGTGTCGGTAGTGATGGCGAGGCCGTTGGGAACCAGTCCTGCGGTTTTGTGTTTCTTCACCAGTCGCACAGACACCACTGGGATCGCCACCTGAACCAACAACAACACAACCACATTAGTGGAATAACCATATCGATTATCACTATTCAATAAAAACTCACATATAAGCAGCTTTTATGAGGACTTTCACTTTAAAGTTAAGAACTGTCTCAGAGTTGAAGATCCTGGATCTTTGTACTTTTCATTCTATCAGCGTTAACAAACAAAACAAAGACAAAACAAACAGAACAGAAGATAAAAATGGGGTGAAACTCATCCAAATTTAGCCAAAAGTGAACTGAACATAAGGTCTAGTACAGTCAACAAAGCGGTAGGTTTAAAATCAGGTCAATATTCAGGAATATGAGGTACATTATCGTTTCTTTCATATGTGTTTCAATCTTTTTATTTGGTGTTTTAGCAAAAGATCATTTGTAATTACACTTCTTTTGTGAATGGAAATACAAATAAAACACATCCTAACCAATATGCATGAAAAAAGACAGGGGTAATAATAATTGAACAGATTATTTTTTAAATAAATGAGGAAAAAAAATAAACATCAACTAGTTTCTTTTATTTTGAATGACCGTATAGTTTTCCAGCGTCTGATACAGGCGGATCAGACGAAACTGGTTTAGTCACAACATGACTTTCCTGATTTCCCCTAGACTGGGTTTTTTTGTTTTTGTTTCTGGAAATATTTTATTTATTTCCAGAGCTGGAAATCACCAGAAGTTTACTATGATGGCAGATCTTCATATATTTAGGTTTGCATGCTTAAAGTACAATTAGGCATTTAAACAGAAAATATCAATAACTGTAAAACATATCTGTAATCTGTCATAAAAAAAAGTTAAAAGAGATAGAAATAGGCTGTGTGAGTTTTTGTCTCATATTTATATCATGATAATAGTTATAGTTGTGTGAGCAATGTCACACAAGTGCTGTTTTTAGCCTGAATAGCACAAATGCAAATGTGAAACTGATTTTATACATTATATTTTTACAATAAGACGTTAATATTGTGTTCTGTTTTAGACACAATATTGTCTGCTTTTGTGAACAAAAATATTCCCTATAAAGTCAGAGCAGAAGTGTTGAATCCGTTTCTGAGTGAATCAATCGGGAGAAGCCATTTACTTCATTCATGAATGAATCAGCTGTTTGAACAAATCGAATGAACAAATGATTCAATGACTCATTTATAAAGAGCCATTTACTTCATTCCTGAATAATCAGCTGTTTGAACAAATCGAATGAATGAATGATTCAATGGCTCATATATAAAGAGCCATTTACTTCATTCCTGAATGAATCAGCTGTTTGAACAAATTGAATGAACAAATGATTCAATGACTCATATATAAAGAGCCATTTACTTCATTCCTGAATGAATCAGCTGTTTGAACAAATTGAATGAACAAATGATTCAATGACTCATTTATAAAGAGCCATTTACTTCATTCCTGAATAATCAGCTGTTTGAACAAATCGAATGAATGAATGATTCAATGGCTCATATATAAAGAGCCATTTACTTCATTCCTGAATGAATCAGCTGTTTGAACAAATTGAATGAACAAATGATTCAATGACTCATATATAAAGAGCCATTTACTTCATTCCTGAATAAATCAGCTGTTTGAACAAATCAAATGAACAAATGATTCAATGACTCATTTATAAAGAGCCATTTACTTCATTCCTGAATGAATCAGCTGTTTGAACAAAAAAAATGAACAAATGATTCAATGACTCATTTATAAAGAGCCATTTACTTCATTCCTGAATAATCAGCTGTTTGAACAAAACGAATGAATGAATGATTCAATGACATTTAGACATTTACCGCCACCTACTAGCAGTTTCAGTTTTAAACCATTTATATATTTTTTTCCATATTTTACAAAAATCTTTATAATCATTTATAATCATCAAGGTCATAATCAAAGGTTATAATCACCTTTATGCCCATAGAAGCCTAAATGTGTTGGTGATAAATAAATTATGTGAATATGTTGTTTTTTTATGCTTTTCTCATTTAACACAATAATGACATTAAATGATCTTTTAGTGGTAATTTCTTTCCAAATTTGATTAAAATGAACTTTTATTTGTATATTTTAATTTTAGTTCAAGTCATTTTGTCACGTATTTAGCTTTAATTTATTTTTCTTGCAGTTGCAATTACAGTTTTCATGTATATAAACTATTTTAGATTTATTTTTAAATTTACAAAAATTATTTTTTTTAGCTAACAGATGATGCAGATTTAATCTCTGATGAATTATTTTTCATGTTGTAACTGTATTAGCAACAAACCTTAATGTCTTTGCCGAAAAGGTTTGCGTAGAAACACAGCCAGTTTCGGGAAATATAAAGCCGTCCTTGCAGCAGAATGTCCCGCAGAAGAGCGCAGGAATACACTGGAGAAATACAACACATATATAGTCCCAATCCTAATGAAAGCAGCAGCGGTCTACGCATCTGACATGTTGAGATATTGATACGTTACCCTTCATCAGGATCTCCTCCTTCGGGACGGCGGAGAACAGTTTGTGGTACTGAGAGTTGTACTTGCTGACGGTCTGTGAAGATGGAGACGTGTGCATCGGTTTAATCATGCATAACACCTAAAATCCAACCTTTATTGGTCGTGAAATGAACACTCTCAGCTGAGAAACCTCCTCCAGAAGCTGTGCAACACTAACTGACTGATTTCCTCACATGACAGGAAGCGTTTGGTTTTGTGCGTGTGGGAAACTCCCACGCTGGAAACTTCTTGATTCAGTTGCACCTGATAAAAACCACCGAGGGCTTTACGGCCGTCTGGCACACGAGGGCTCGAACTGGGACTGAAGTGGTGAGCGGCCCATAAGAAAGAAGGCTTTGTAATGTTTAACCACAATCTTGCATCATGGATGACTGATAAACACAACTGAGAAACTAAGATAAACTGTATTAATGCAAGATCTAAAGTTACTTCCATCCAATGCATTTCAGGTATGCTTTTACTGTAAGTTATGTTTTAGATGTATGCAACATGCTATTGTTCATCTGCTGGGTATGATCTGATTTACATATGAAATATACTTACTGAACCCCTGTAGCATTTCTTTACATCTTCATAAGACAGGTCGTCAATCAGCTGGAGCCTGAAAACACAGATAAAGTACAATTATTACTAATGGTGTTAAAATAAAACATTTTTTTTTAGTTCATATAATACTACTACTACTACTAATAATGTAGACACAAACACACACACAAAGAAAAAAAAATAATAAAAAAAATAAAATTATATATATAAATATAAAAAATGCGTATATTAGAAATGGAAATTGTTTAACATATTTATATAATATTTTACATTCAATTAATATATAAATTAATTAATAAAATTATATATATATATTATAATATAATTTAATTTTATATAATATAATATAATTAAAAATTATATATATTTCATATTTAATTATTATAATAAATATTATGTATACACACACATTTGTGTATTTAATTAATATATAACAATTATAGAATTTAAAATTATATAAAATATTTATATAATATTTCATATATTTAATTATTATATAAAATATTATATAAAAACACACTTTTATTTAATTTTTTTAATGCCAGTTAAAATGTTTTTTTTTTTTTTCAGAAAGACCTAGATAAAAATTGCAGAAAAAACAACAACTTTACAAGAAAAACTAACCAAGCCAAAACTAAAGAAGCAAAAATGAATCCGAATAAAAACATTTAAACTGGAAAATTCACTGGTAAACACTGAATCTATACGAGTAAAATGTTTGTGTTAAACACGTAAATGCAAATATTCATGCAATGCAAAAATTTGTTCTAGTTCAGTGAAATCAAACACATGGTCAAACATATTCATGAAAATAACACAGATGTGCATTTTTCCTCACATAATGTCTGTCGAGATCCAAATATCATGCAAAATGTGTGTTGATAATAATGATCATACAAACAGACATGAACCCCAAAAGCATCACTCCGGCTCCAGCCGCAGGCAAATATGTGCAAATGTACAAAGTGCATTTTCATATTTATTTACCAGGTCAAAACCTCAATGTCTTCCAACTTAAACAAACACTCATCCTCGAAACCAGCCTTTTGAATATTAGGACGGGGTCCCTCCCACAACGATGATCATATCTGTGAACCCTGGACCATAAAACCAGTCACAAGGGTCACTTTTCTGAAATTGAGATTCATACTGAATAAATAAGCTTTCCAGTGATGTATGGTTTGTAATGATAGGACAATATTTGTCTGAGATAGAACTATAAATCTAGATCTGAAGGTGCAAAAAATCTAAACATTGAGAAATCGCCTTTAAAGTTGTGCATTAATGTTGGCGATTGTGCTGCCTCCAGTGGTTCAAGTGGGATTTGGCAGAAATTTTGTGTAGGTGCAACAGGGAAAATTGACTTGCCGTGGGATAATCTAGTATTATTGAGTATCGTGGTATAGCAATACTTTTAGGGTCAAGAGTGTCGCTGTGGCACCAAGTATCACTTATCTACTTGACATTTTAATGGTTTTATTTTGGTCCATCTACACTGATATGATGATTATACTGTTAAAATTGCTTAAAGGAGTAGTTTACTTTTCGAAAACCTTTTGCTGATAATTTACTCACCTCCATGTCATCCAAGATGTCCATTTTTTTCTTTCTTCAGTCGAAAAGAAATGAAGGTTTTTGATGAAAACATTCCAGGATTTTCTCCATATAATGGACTTCAAATGGGGTCCAAACGGTTCAAGGTCCAAAAGACAGTTTCAGTGCAAATTACAAACTGTTCAAAGGGCTTTAAACGACACCAGACGACGAATAAGGGTCTTATCAAGCAAAACGATCGCTCATTTAAAAAAAAAAAGCAAAGTTTAAGTTTTATAAGCACAAATGCTCGCCTTGCTCTGTTCTGTGATGCACGTTCGTGACTCTCCAATTCGAACTCGTTTATCAAAATGAATCTTTTTTCGAGTCATTTGGTTCATTCAACGAACGAAATGAACGAGTTGACTCGGAACAAGATTCGTTCATTTTGATGAATGAGTTCAAACAGGAGAGTCACGAACGTGCATCACAGAACAGAGCAAGGCGACCATTTGTGCTTATAAAACTTAAATTTCGTTATTTATTTTTTAAATGAGCGATCGTTTGGCTTGATAAGACCCTTATTCATCGTCTGGTGTCGGTTAAAGCCCTTTGAAGCTGCACTGAAATGTCTTTTGGACCTTGAACCATTTGGTTCCCATTGAAATCCATTATATGGAGAAAAATGCTGGAATGTTTTCATCAAAAGCCTTAATTTCTTTTCGACTGAAGAAAGAAAGACACGGACATCTTGGATGACATGAGGGTGAGTAAATTATCAGTAAAAGTTTTTTTTTTTTTTAAGTGAACTACTCCTTTAACACTGGGACAAAAGTTGAGCCCTGGCACTATAGCCACACCTATAGAAAATTTTGATTTCTCTGAACTACATATGAGCAATTTAAGACTTTTGAAGGCCAAAAATAATAAATAGCTTTAAAACCATGCCATATTGGATATTAGATTATTTTGTCAATGCCATTGACATAATTGTACCATAGTCAATACCATTTGGCATAAAATATCATTTTGACTCATACAATGTATTGTTGGCTATTCGAGACCGGGTTTGTGATCCAGGGCCATTTTAGTGGATCATGGCATCTAGAAGATGGAAACCCTAGTCTAGGGGAAGCAATCGAGACAGGAATGAGGTGAATCGCTGGTGATTTCTCATTCATTTCTTACAGAAAAACGCTGGACACAAAAACACAATGTTTGTGACTGCAGTTCAATATAACTGGAGATCTTCCCGTCTCATTTGCCTGGCTCCTTCACCTAATTCCCTGAACTTCCTCTCAGAAACAATCAATCATTGTTTATAACTTCTGGTGGCCGATGACTTCAGAGAAGTTTCCTCGTGTTTCCTTCCTGAAGCGGCTCAGCTGAAAGTAACGCCATCGTTTCAGCAAGTAAACAGCACATTTCATCCGTCAAACATGATCGTTATCCTTCGAACGGAGTAATCACAGCTAACAGGATGACAGCTAATGAAATGTTTTTTTTTCTGAAGAGAAAAAGTTCAGCAAAAACCATCAGAGGAGAGGATTCAGCTCGTGTTTACACGAACACATCAGAGCAAAAGGGCTTCTGTGTGCTGCGGTCTGCGTTTCAAAATATATTACACACTGCTCTGGTTTGTTGACAGAAATTGCACAAATACGCACTCTTTAAAAGTGTAAAACAATATACAGTAATTCACTGATTTACTCAATGAAGACATACAAATCTAACAAAATACATAAAAAGACTGTTATATAAAATTTAAATGTATTGTATCCTGTGTATAACTGTACAGTGTGTGACAAATACAATCCTCCAATCTCAGAGGCCGCTTACACGACACAATTTTTTAATAAAAATGGAAAACTTTTTATGCGTTTTGGACGTTCATTTACACGTTTTGAGGGCCTGATAACATAAAATTGGTTCATGTTGAAGCTCAAATGTGATGCGTAACATGAGAATGAACCTCATTGGCTCATGCCGACGCTCAAATGTGATGCGTACATTAACACCGGACGCGAATAGCGCGTCACACCGTGTCCTAACTACACGCGATGCGACGCCGCGACACGCGATGAAAGGTATCTTTTCCATGTTAATCAGAGTTTATGTCCTAACCAGACGCGACGGCGAAACGCCAAGTTTCTAATTTAGAAACAGTTCCTATTTCTGGGACGTCGCGGCTGACAGAATGAAGAAATTACACTGGTTATGAGTACACATTATTTATTTTTTGTTAAAAATAGGTCACTGTGCCACAAGATAACGGATAATTTACCTCAGATTTTGAAAGCATATAATATAGCGTTCAAAATGAATTCTATGCAAACATACGACTGTAGGCTACTTAATAACAAAATTAGTCAATGAGTATATTTTGTTAATGTTTTGATTTTTAATAATGTTATTTCTTGATTTGATTATGTCCTACCCATTTCCAATGCGAGTGCGGTCCAGCAGTACGCTTTCATGCTGTTCTGAATGGTTGTGAACGTGTGGCATCTCACACTCGCGTCGCGTCTAGTGTGGACAGACACACTTGCAGTCGCTGGAATTTTATCGCGTCGCGTGTAGTTAGGACACGGTGTCAGACGCGAATGATTTCATAGTTAAGTCAATGCAAAGATGCGTTACGCGCATGAAAAATTCCTGCGTTACGCGCGAATGGTGCCATTTGTGCATTCACGCGTTTGACGCAAATTCCCGCCTGCCGCCTGAGTTGAAAAATCTGAACTTTGGCGTGAATTCGCGCCGCGTTAACCAATCAGGAGCCTAGCTGCTCACGTGGTGAAGTGTCTGCATGCTTCAATAAATTATTTTGTTATATGACTAAATGCATGGTGGGATTATGCACAACAAAGCAAATATTTTATCACTTAAAACATTATTTCTATATACGAGACATGTTCATTTTGTCTAGATTCCATATCTAGATTATATGAAATAGTATTATGATGTAAAGACAACATATATGTGCATAAGTTCGTGTCTGGACGTGTGAGAGAGAGAAAAAAAATCACAGGACTGGTTAATAACTTTTGGAAGCTGGCTCTATTTATCATCAAAACAAAAATAAATGACAGCTAGATTAGGTGGATGAGGGCGAGGGTGATCCTCGCTCCGATGCGGGACAACAGGTCATCAAACTGGGCACGGGACAGGCGGAAGTACCGCTGACAGCGGCTGTCATCCAGCGCAGCTCCTGGAGCGAGCAAATGGTGAAACTCGCCAAACGGTTCACCTCTGAAGGGTCCGGTGGACACAAATACGGCGACGATGATCCCCACGCCGCTGTTCTGCTCTCCAGAGCAAATACAGTGCGGTGAATCTCTCGATGAATGCTCGATCAACATAAACAAAGATGGCGGTCAACGGGTTTCGGCTTTGATGCGCGTAAATTTCACTTCAAACGTTTTATTTTACCCGCGTCAGTTTCGCTCTTGACGTGCGAATTAACACAAAGTGGTCAAGCGTCAAACTAGACGCGGTAGACGCGTCCGGTGTGAACGTAGCAAAACACGAGAATGAACCTCATTGGCTCATGCTGACGCTCAAATGTGATTCGTAACATGAGAATGAACCTCATAGACCTTATTCAGAGCAGCACCATGACAGGTATGAAAGTGAGGCTGTGAGGGGTAGACTTACCGTGTTTCCAATGGCATCCGCTGTAAAAAGCTGAATAAAGCTCCTATATTACTTACAATTTTCCACAGTTTACATTGTCAGGAGTTTTTTGTCAAATGAAATTTCTTGGAAAGATATTTTTCCAGTGTTTCATGAGCAGAACAATCCGAAAACACGTTAAACAACAGTACAGCCCATTGAAGAGATGCATGACTATCCCTCACAGCCTCGCTTTCATTCTCATTAAAAATCAAAGATGGCGCTGCCGTGAATAAGGCGCATTGGCTCTTACTGAAGCTCAGGTTTGAAACATCATGATGTACAGTACATTACAGTGAACTAACTTTGGATCAACTAACTCTTTTATAAATCAAGTAAATAAAGTTTTCTTCTAGGGGTTTGGGTCAACACACAATCATGATACTGAGCTTTATATAAGGATAAGTCCTCATTTAAATGTGTGTGTTGTGCGTCTTCCTGCTCAGTGACGAACACAAGGTCTCCGAGGAAGAAACATCTCAAATCAAGTGATTCAAATCAGCGTTCAAAGAGAAAGCAGAACATGGACACACGTGACGACGCGCCTCTGGAGACGCAGTTATCGCACAGATTTCGTGACTGCTCAGGGACACACACACACAACACCACACGGACTCATCAGGGCACGTTATTCTGATACAATCCAAACCCATCGAAGAGAAATACCTCGGAAACGCAAATCGTGAGTGACACGGAGAAAATCGGCAAAGAAGATCAAATCTAAAAGCTGTCGAATGAATGTAGGTCAGTCATCCATCGCTGGAGCCACACGATCAGCTGCAGGCGCTAAACATCATTAGGAACCGGCAATTAGTCACAAAAACGTGAAGATCTCATGATGAATTTGTGACTAATTGCATCTTCAGTCTGATGATGAACAACATCACAGATGTCCACAACAGGAAGGAAACCTAGCATTAATCTGTGATGCACATTTTCAAGATATTGTGTGTTTGTCATCATGGATGAGGTCTGAGAGGCACATAGAGTTGAAGACAATAGAGTAATGGGACTCGTTAGATGGAAACAACTTCATTAGCCGTACAAAGAGCTTTTGAGAGAGAAACAGCCGTGTGAGTGTTGCTGACGTGATCAAACCTCCAACACTGAGTATTCAAGTTGAGTGTGTGTGTGTGTGTGCTCCTCTTTGCTGTCTTGTGTAATTAGATCTGCTCGCCTCTAAACGTGAGCGTTCTGCACGTGGAGTTCGAAGCAGTGACATCATCACTCCTCGTCTCACGACACTTCTGCAACACACACATCACGACTCCTGCTGTGTAACAAATCTGCCAAAGGCAAAACCAAACGACCAATCAAAACTAGTATTTTCTGTTTCAGAAGAGATTGTAATGTCCTATGCGGTTGCTACTGTGTGTGATTTCTTTGGTCTCTGGTGTAGCTCAGGTCCTTCAAAATATTATTTTAATTACCAAAAACTATTTGTTAAAGTTTTAATGATTGTAATAATAACAACACTGCTAAAGTAAAGTACTGTAAAGTAACAGATCTTCTCCTCAATGACGCACGTGATCATCTGAGCCTGAGGAATCATTCATATCTTGAGCACACACGGTGCAGGACGACACACACATTTTTGTTTCAGTAATTTTTTTATTTGTATATATAGTTTATATAGTCAAAATTGTTTTAATTAAAAGATATATATACATTTTAAAAGTATTAATATAGTAATATAGTATAGTAGTAGTATAGTAAGTAAATATAGTTTTTATTAAAATTAAATAAGTTTTTAGTTTTGCCTTAAACTAAAAAAAAAACAAAAAAACGACTAACTAGCTGATATAAAAAAGCTTTACATATTTTTTTATATTGTATTTAAGTATATATATATATATATATATATATATATATATATATATATACAGTATATATATATATATATATATATATATATATATATGAAGAGTTCAGATGCAAAAGCCTCTAGGTGCCATTTGAAATTTTCTTCTAGAATGATGATTTTTTTCAAGCTTGTATATTTAAGTTCAGTGATTTCACTTAAATGGCAATGATAATTACCTATTAATTGTTATTTAAGTGAAATTACTGAACTTAAATATACAAGTTTGATAAAAATCATCATTAAAGAAGAAAATTTCAAATGGCATTTAGAGGTTTTTGCATCTGAACTCTTCATATATATATATATATATATATATATTTTTTTTTTTTTTAGCAAAAATTCAGAAGTGATGTCATGATCTCCACCATCCTCTGAGACAGTTTCACAAACCTGCCTGATCACAGCGAAACACAAACACACTCATTACGTAAATGTGGTTCTTCAATTGACGTTCAATTGAGGCGGGGAGACGTTTAGGCAAACAGTGAAGTGTGCGTGTGTGTGTGTGGCGTTCCGGATGACGGGCGGCCCGGCCCTGATGGCAAACCTGCACAGACTCGTGGGAACAGGGCATAGATTTACTCAGCACTGAAAACACAAATCCTGCACACACTCTTCATCTATCTAGCGGTATCATGAGTACAGACAGTAGAATTAAAGGTGCAGTGCGTAATATTCAGGAGGATCTGGTGACAGAAATGCAATATCATGTTTTCAGTGGTGTATAAAGAGCGTTATGTGTTTATTAGCTTAGAATGAGGCGTTTCTCTCTACACTCACATCCACATGTTTCTACGGTGGCCCTGAGCGGACAAACGCGTTCCGTTAGTATGTTGTTCTTCGTGTAAAGAAGCTGCTACAGTCAGCCAAGAAAACACTGGCACAATGATGAACAAGTTATAATGATATTCGCAAATCGTTTTACTGAGTAAACCTAATTTCTTAATTTATCTTTGTATAGAATCCTCATTGTTTAACTGGCTACTCTCTGCTGTCTCAGACGACGACATCACTTCCTGTCGGCCACCGTAACTTCTGTTGAGTTCACAAAAAACAATCTTTGCATCTCTGTGAGTTACAAACCAGAATTGATTCAGACACCTTCAACATTTCTCACATTATCAGTGTATTTTCTGTAGTTTATAAAACGGTAGTAAAATATGATAAATAAAAAAATAAAAAACAGCATATCAAAGGATTTTTGGAATGAAGAACTTAAAATGAATTACTGAACGTGGTGCAATACTTTAAATGTGTAACATGAATATGCAAAAGTATGCGGTACGTACATGAGACTCTGCCTGAAGTGTGCGGGGCATTGGGGGTCGTCGTCCTTCGGGGAGTCCGCCAGCTCTATCGGGGTCACCAGCCCCAGGTCATCACCCTGATCAACGAGCCCCGTCATTATTATCTGTTCTAAAACAATCAACAACCAGAAAACATATTATTATATGCTAAATAATTCATTATTATTTATTTTATGTTAAATAATATATATATACACACATACATATTACATATATATACTGTGTTTGTATGTGTGTATATATATATATATTTATATACATAAAACTTTTTCCATAAGCCCGTTACTTTTTGTTATACAAGATAGAGAATATTTCTACAAAAAATAAGAACATTAATATTAGTATGAAGTAGGGATGCCACGATGTAAAAATGGCCGATACCGATAATTCTATATTTGAAAGCCGATAACCGATATATCGGCCGATTGAATCAAAATTTTAGGTCATTTTTGAGAGTCTGATTACGAAAACAAAAGTCTCACCATTAATAGCCACATCTCAAACACACAATTATAATATTATTCTCATTATAATAATGGGGCCGATATAACTGCATATGTTGCACTTTACTACTTTTTTTAAGTGATTCCAATCATATTTCAAGCAATTCAAAACCATCATGTTGAACAGTGCGCATCTGAAGCGTCTCAGCTGAAGGAAATAATCCATTATTTATTGGCTTTAATCTCCCAAATTTTCTTATCGGGCCGATAACGATAACATTAAAATTATCGGCCGATACCGATATGGTGGCCGATATGTCGTGCATCCCTATTATGAAGACAAATTTGTTATTAATATGCAATCAATCCCAGAAACAAAAGTCTTTACTTTCTTTGCAATGCATTCTGGGATTTCCTTTTTTACAAAGGACACGTAATGCTGTCTTATAATGTGGTCGAAACATCTAATAATGCAGCATAAAGTTGCTGCTTTACCAGCCTTTGCACCTATGATGCCTTATAATACTGCGCACTAGGGTTTAGACTTGAGTGCAAGCACAAAAACAAACACTTTCATTATTAACAAGGCACACACAGACTACCATTTCACTAGTTTCCTAAGATCTATAATGCAAACACATGGAGAAACGCTGCATTTGGTTTCAAATCAACACGACTCTAATTTAAATTCAAGACTGACCTAGAAAAGTGAACTGGTTTATTGTGATCACAGTCGCCTCAAACACTAGGCTCAGTTAAACATGCTAATGAGGCAAAATCGCATTGGTCTAATCAGCCTGCATGGGAGAACGAGTCAGCCGTAAAAATGAAACATCACAGGAATATTACCGATTGAGATCATTTCATAAAAAGACTCGCAGATTCACGCATGTATAGCTTTAACAAAAAAAAACTTTAACAAAAGTCCAGGAATTCGCTGACATTAGATACGCAACGCTCCCTTCAGAAAGAGCTTTTGTCCATTTCAAAGCAGCAGATTTTCTTACAGTAACAGAAGCCTCACAGTCATCATGTACTCGCCCACATGCACTTCAATCTCTCTATTATTTTCATGACACACAAAAGTCGATGTTAGGCAGAAAGCCTGAGCTTCTGTATTCGCTCTCTGAGTCTCATGTGTCCCCAGAATGTGTGTGTGAAGTTTCAGCTCAAAATATTATACCATGTTGTAAATGCCCATTTTTGAGTGGAAGCAAGTTTTCATGCATGTGTTTTTAAATGCAAACGAGCTAAACATATAATTTCGTTTTCTTAGAAGAACTAAAAAAAAATAAAAATAGAAAGAAAACGTGTTAATTTCCGAGTGATCTATTCCTTTAAAGCTCGTCGGATGATTTTCTGATGCCCTCTTATGGAAGTGAGCCTCAGACTTTCACTGTGGAGGATCTGGCAGTGTGACAACTCTCGGGCAAGTGATAACAGCTCACCTCGACACACACACACACACACACACACACACACTAAATATAGCTCGCCAACCAAATACCGTCTGTAAGATGCAGTGTGGAAAGAGTGACTTGAGAGAGATGGTGAGACAGAGAAAACAAGCTGATAACAAGCACTAAATATAGAGGTGTGATTGACCACACACACTTCGAGAGACGGCAAACACAAAACACTCCAGCTGCCGTCTAACGATTCAAAGTTCTGATTCATTCACAGGCTTGATTTATGACTAAAACAAAGATAGATAGATAGATAGATAGATAGATAGATAGATAGATAGATAGACAGACAGACAGACAGACAGACAGATAGATAGATAGACAAATAGACAGATAGATAGATAGACAAATAGATAGACAGGCAGATGGATAGATAGATGGATAGATAGATAGACAGACAGACAGACAGATAGATAGATAGATAGATAGATAGAAAGACGGATAGATAGAAAGAGACAGACAGACAGATAGATAGACAAATAGATAGACAAACATATAGACAAATAGATAAATAGACAGATAGATAGATGGATAGACAGACAGACAGACAAACAGAAAGACAGACAGACGGATAGACAGATAGATAGAAAGACGGATAGATAGAAAGAGACAGACAGACAGATAGATAGACAAATAGATAGACAGACAGACAGATGGATAAATAGACAGATATATAGATGGATAGACAAATAGACAGACAGACAGACAGAAAAATAGATAGACAAACATATAGACAAATAGATAGACAGATAGATAGATAGATAGATAGATAGATAGATAGATAGATAGATAGATAGATAGATAGATAGATAGATAGTGTTAGAGAGAGTTTTCTTTAGGAACGGTCTTCTCCTCGGTGTGGTGTTGAATGGAAACTGGGTTTCTGATTGTTTTTCCCGGAGCTCTTCTCAGAGGTGTGGAGGAACCGGATCCGCTGGGAAACCCTGCAGTCGCAGCTGTGGAAAGCAGGATCGAGAGAAGCGTCTCTGCACAACGCCAGACACTCGCGGACACTTCGACAAAACAAAAAACCGCTCGAGTGGCCCTTATATTTATGTTTCCTGCATAACAGAAATGATGCCGGATGAGCCTCAGAAGGGAAGAGGAGAAACTCTTCACCTCAGGTGTGTCATGTGACTTGATGCCCTGAAGTCACTGATCACTTCAGTCAGGTGAGAGACGTTACAAACATGAGACATCCGTCACCATGGTAACAGGCCTAGAAAAGTTCACATGTGGATCCCAGGACCGTGTTTATGGAGTCGATATGCACGTGCTTCAGGCCTCAGGCAAACGAGAGATCTCTGTCTAACTCTTCACTGACGGTGGAGAGACGCCACGGATGTAGAAACATCGTCCACCGCCGACCTGAAGCATGACTGTCTCCACGGCCGCATCATTATCTATTAAAATACATTATAATGTGTGTGAGAACGCAGACAGCATCCACTCAACACACACACCGACCACACAAGAACAACAGCATTTATCTGGAATAGAAGCTTTCATGACATTTAACACTTCCGGTCAAAAGTTTGGGGTCAGTCAGAATGTTTTTGTTTTTTTGGGGTTTTTTTTTGTGTGTGTGTGTGTTTTTTTTGGAAAAAAATTAAAGATATAAATACTTTTATTCATCAATGATGCATTAAATTGATCAAAAGTGGCAGTTAAGACATTTATAATGTTACAAAAGCTTCCGTTTCAGATAAATGCTGTTCTTTTGAACGTTATATTTATCAAATAATCATATGAAATAACTTTTCAACATTGATAATAATCATAAATGTTTCTTGAGCATATTAGGGTGATTTCTGAAGGATCATGTGACACTGAATACTAGAGTAATGATGCTGAAAATTCACAGGAAAAAATTGCATTTGAACATATTAAAATAGAAAACAGTTATTATTATTATATTACCTTTTTTTGTATTTTTAATCAAATAAATGCATCCTTGGTGAGTAGAAGAGACTTCTTTGGAAACATTAAAAATCTTACATAAACTTTTGAATGGCACTGTGTGTGTATATATATATATATATATATATATATATATATATATATATATATATGGCCAAAAAGTGAACTTTTTTTGCATTTCCTATTAGACTGTAAAGCCATCTCGTCACTCTCCTGACCGCTGGTCATTGGTTCTACATCATGTCAGTAACAGTGGGTTACTGAGAGTGAGAGACTCGAGTAGCGTATCAGAAGAAAGATGCTCTGTGTGAGTCATACACTCCGGTGTGTGTTTACACAGACTGCTTTTCTAACACACAGCCATCTACTGTTGACCTCGTCCTGACCTTCGCTTCCAGTTTTATTCAAATGCAGGTGTTCTTCACAGTCAAAGCATGTGGTGTGTGTGGCACACACGTTGCTTTCACCAATTTCCTGATGTCAAAATGCAATCGGGAAGTTAAAAAAGCCTCACTGCATGAGTTTGACTGCATCTCATGTCACACGAACAACAGCCGAGAAAATGCAACATGTTTCAGTCACTCGTTTTAAACCAAAAATATCAGTTTCTTGCACACTCAAAAATTGCAGGGTTGTTTTAGCCCACATTTGGGTTAAATATGGACAAACCCAACCACTGTAACCCAAATGTAACCCAACGGTTGGGTTTGTCCATATTTGACCCAAATTTGGGTTAAACCAACTCTGCATTTTATAGAGTAATATGTTCTTTAGCATGTCGATATGCAAATTGTTTTGAATGGTGTTCACATGTTTCTATGTGTTACATAAGCTGTTCAGATTTGGTTTTTAGCGTGGTTTCTCGAAAAAGAGCACATGAAACATGCAAACTGGCAGAAGGCATGAAACACACAACAAGGATGTCGGAAGTATCGATGTATGAATTTGGAAATAATGCAAATGTAAGAAAATCTCCACTCCCAACATCTTCCACTGGTCTGCGTTCGAGAGCGACGTGTTTACACACCAGCCATGACTAACAGCCAGATATTATTATTAATGTGAGCTCGCATATATAATATACACAACGCCTGAAGACGAGGAGAAGGCAAAAGAGAGACGTCTGGAAGAACATGCAAATATGCAACATGACATCATGACTTTTGCGTAAACATATACGCCACTTTCGAGTCAGGTGGCGTGTCATCTCTACGCATTTTGAGCTATCCGCGTGTATCCGCGTGTATGCGTATATGTCTAAGCCATTAACGTCCTTGTCATTCCACGTGTCTGTACACGCAGTCAAATCTCCAGTCATAAATGCCATTAACCCCAGTGACGGTTAGGTTTAGGGACGGGGTTGAGGTAAGTCATATATTTATATAACGTTAAGTCAACGGCGTTCATAAACACGCTGAAAGGCGATTATGCGTCTTGATAGCACGCCAAAAATGGAAATACGAATTGGCGTGTCATACTTCATGAGATCAGTCTGAAATATGCATGTCTGAAGAGCGACAGAATGATGCAAGAACGTCACATTTGCTATAAAACATGTATACTATACAGTGAATTAATCGAAATGAGTCTGCATTTCCATTTACTTTGTTTTTACCGTCTAGATTAACCCTTGTGTGTCAATTTTAAAATTGCACAAAATTGCATAAAGCAATTGCAATTCTGACTTTATATCTCGCAATTCTGACTTTATATCTCATAATTCTGACTTTGTATCTCGCAATTCTGACTTTATAACTTATAATTATGACTATATTATGCAATTCTGACTGTATATCTCATAATTCTGACTTTATATCTTGCAATTCCGACTTATAACTTATAATTCTGACTATATTATGCAATTCTGACTTTATATCTCGCAATTTTGACTTTATATCTCATAATTCTGACTTTATATCTTGCAATTCTGACTTTATATCTCGCAATTGTGACTTTATATCTCATAATTCTGACTTTATATCTCGCAATTCTGACTTTATAACTTATAATTCTGACTATATTATGCAATTTTGACTTATATCTCGCAATTCTGACTTTATATCGCATAATTCTGACTTTATATCTCGCAATTCTGACTTTATAACTTATAATTCTGACTATATTATGCAATTCTGACTGTATATCTCATAATTCTGACTTTATATCTTGCAATTCTGACTTTATATCTCGCAATTCACACTTTATAACTTATAATTCTGACTATATCTCGCAATTCTGACTTTATATCTCATAATTCTAACTTTATATCTCGCAATTCCGACTTTATAACTTATAATTCTGACTATATTATGCAATTCTGACTTTATATCTCGCAATTCTGACTTTATATCTCGCAATTCAGACTTTATAACTTATAATTCTGACTATATCTCGCAATTCTGACTTTATATCTCATAATTCTTTCTGACTTTATAACGAATAATTCTGACTATATCACGCAATTCTGACTTTATATCTTACAATTCTGACTTTTTTTCTGACTTGTCTTGTACCAGTTATTGCAAGCCGTTGCGATATGCATATTGCGATATATATATGCATTTGCGATATTTCTATATATTGTGCAGCTCTACTACTGATGGACTTGCAGAAAAACAGAAGCTGAGCTGACCACAAAACCACATGCAACAACATCATGAGTGTTTCACTTCAAACGCTATGTACACAACACACACACATTACCACACATCAGAGCCTATCTGAGCAGCAGCAGTCTTTTGTCTAATGCAATAATACCAGATTTTAATAGAGGCTAATTATAGCCATTATGCAGAATGAGGGTGTGTGTTTACATGTTTAAGCTCTCGCTATAAGCATCAGGAGTCAGCGCTTGTCCACAGCACTTACAGCAAACCAACGTCACCGGACACATGAACAGACTGCTTTTCTGCTCAAGGTTGTGTAACTTATGCCAAAACAAACACCATTACAGTCAAAGCAAAGTATTTATAATGGTATAGATAACATAGGAGTCTATTTACAACTACAGAGGACTGCGGAGAGCCACAACTTTCCTTTCCTTTCAAACACAAAATTGAACGCATTTAACTCAATAAAACACCGGTTGTTATTTCTATTGGGTATGTTGTAGTACTATTTACTCCATGCAAACATAGTTAATGAAAGTGGTTTTAACTCAGAAACAACTTAAAGCAATCTCTTCTACTCTGATATTTCACAGCAATAATTTTCTTTAAAGGGTTATTCACCCAAATATGAAAACTCTGAGTAATTACTCGCCCTCGGGGTTGTTCAACCCCGTAAGACTCATCTTCGTTCATCTTTGGGACACAAATTAAGATATTTTTGATTAAATCTTAGAGCTAATTGAAACTTGCGGGCCCAGAAAGTTAGTAAAGACAATGTTTAAAATAGTCTACAGAGTGACTACAGTGGCTCAATCTTAAGTTTATCAAGCACGAGAATACTTTCTGTGCGCAAAAAACAAACAAAAATAACGACTTTATTCAACTCCTCACATAGTGTAACAGCGCAGCGTTTCTGGGTTGTACGTCACAGCTCTCAGATTTAATCAAAAATATCTTAATTTGTGTTCTAAAGATGAATGAAAGTCTTACAGGGTTGAAGAACATAATTACTGACTGAGTTTTCATCTTCGGGGGAAATATCCCTTTAACCCTTTGATGGGTGACATCTACAGCAACATTAAACCATTCATATTTGATTGTCCTCAATCTTTTTATTTATTTATTGACAGCATATTCAATGTGGGCAACAAAAGTTGTCATTTTTGTCTTTCATGGCAGTGGACAGATGTGTACACTTACAAAAATAACAGTATTCTGCCTCGCAAATACGATAATACCTCGATTTTAGAGGAATAGGAACAGTACTTTTTGTAAGGGATTTTACTTCAAACTACCTCATTCTGTATATATATATATATATATATATATATAAGATTGAGCGTAGTTTTGACAAACGAGAAATTCTGAAAATGGGGTTCATCAACTGTGTGTGTCCGACAATCTTCAACATATCTGTGTTGATCAGAGGATAGAAAATCATGCAGGTTTGGAACAACATGAAGGCGAATAAATCATGATAGAATTAAAATTTGGGGGTAACTGTCCCTTTAAGAATTTCTTTCTGATTTAATAATTCGCGCTAATACCATTATCAATAGTTAGAGTGTCCTAAAATGTGTATTCATCCATTTTAACATACGAAATTCATGCAAGCATTAAATAATGTTTGTTAAACACTGAAAATGAATATGTTCTCACGGTGCACATCAAGACTGTGTTTAGGGATGAAAACACTGTAAACGTGGCGAAGAGTTTCGCGACTAAAATCCGGACTGTGATGTTCTTGCTCAATCGAAATCTAATTTTAAGACTAACACTAACATCTAGTAATACTGTAATGAGTAACACAATATATGAAAGCAAGCGGACATAATAGTGCGGGTCTCTTACCTTCAAACACAACTCCAGTCCGTCATTTCATAGCAAACACAGCAGATGTGTTTCTCCATCAGGATCTGCGTGTACATTCACATATGATTATCGAATATAAACATCGCATGGTCATAAAAAACGAGAGTATTTCGCTCTTCAAGGGCACGAGCGCTGAACATAACCGTGCCACGGGAAATTCTGCAGACCGGTTGCGACTTGTTGCTCAGATGTGCATGCGCATGGGGGCGTGATTTAATCTTATAGGCTCCTCCCTTTTCGTTGCTGCTGCTGCGAGCACGTGGACGGATGAGCCTGAGAGTCTCTGAGGTAATAGCGCTTCCTCTGTAAATTACAATCTTACTGTAATCAGAATTAAGTGCTGGCACTGGGGCTATTTTATACATATTTCTTTATCTTTTCTTTTAAATATATATATATTTTTTGAATGTCTGTTTAAAAAAAATATTTTTATGAACTGCATGCATCTGTATTCCTGGGTAATAATAGTGGGAATGTTGAATAACACTGGGCAATAACAGTGCAATAACTGGGTAATAACAGTGGAAATGTTGAATAACAGTGGGAAATAAGAGTGCAATAACTGGGTAATAACAGTGGAAATGTTGAATAACATTGGGTAACAGTGAAAATGCTGAATAGTCTTTTGTAGTAAATAGTCTAAATTTTTTTTTGAAAAAAGAATGACAACCCATCTCCATAACCGTCGTACACTTAATATGCATTTGTCAGCAACAACTAACAAGAACTTTAACTGTCGTGGTATTTTTTAAGCTCAATTTAAAAACAATATGACAATCATTTCGTATGGCATATACAGTAGCCTATAAATACATGCCTAAAAAAACATGCCATCACATTTAAATGCTTTTTTGAATTATTATTATTATTATAATAAGTAATACATTTTCTTATATAAATATTCTTGCAAGGCAATATAACCAACAGTCTTTTAAATGCACAGGCTCTCTCATACAGTGGGCTGTTTGTATTTGTCACACCACGCGCGCTCACAAGGACTGAGAGAGCGCGCGCCTTGAATTCTAATCGCGCGCGTGCCTCGCATGTAAAGCGTCAGACTCAGAACATCACGATGTGTTCACAAGGCACACACACGCGGTCTTTTCTGGTTGACGGTGTTTAATAGTGAACAAACGTTACATGTTAGTGTCAAATATGCTTTTACAACTTTAAATTTGGCGAATATCGATACTTATTTTCAATAGACACTGCATGCTTGTTGTATAACATCTCTGAGAGTCCTCTAGCACTCACGTGAGGTTTCCATGGCAACTGCTGGGTCTTCAAGCACGCGAGGCTTTTCATTCCCGCGCTGGTCACCTGATGGCGCGAAGCTGAGCTTCACTGAAGTAACGTTACCTCCTCAGCTGCCTTAAACTGGTTTTCAAGAAGTAAAACGTCTTTCCAGGGTTAACAATCATTTTTTATCTTAAAAACTACGTTTATACATAACTTTCCACAAGTTTTAGCTTCTTTCCCAACCCAAAAAAGTTGTGTGTGATAGAGAAAGGAAGAGTTCAAGGACGAGGCAGGCTAGTTCATTCATATATCACTTTTACGGCTTCATTTTACATTAGTCCTTTAGGGTAGACGCAATATTAGAATATTTTAAATAATAAAAAAGAACAGGAAAGAGGCTATGAGTTCAACAATCCATTCAATGGGCTGTAGTCTTAAGATCTTATATTTCACGAAATATAGCCTATATTTTCAAGGCACACCAAAATATATAAATGTATTTATCCTCATAATCCGCGAGAAATTAAATGGCGTCCGTACACAGATTCAATTAAGCTGTTACACGAACATGCCGAAGAACACATTTTTTCTCTCTCGAAACAATTAAATGTTGTACTATAAAAGTAGTGTCATAATTGGTCAAAGAGACTGGGTCCCAAAGGAAGGTAAAGGCGGCCCTCTGATGGTTAAAACCTGGTACTTCAATTCTTCCATGTAAAATAAGTGTGGTTAAATTAGAAGAAATTACACCTTTTTGCAGGTCTTCTACTCTGCTTTTCTTATGATAGTCTCTCAGATTGACCTGGGTTTATGTTTCAAGGTGGCTTGGATCCTCACAGTTTTTTTCTATGGCGTTGGTCTTTAACTTTTTTTTTTATAATCTAAATTTAGTTAATAATACTGAACTGGAGTCTGGACTATAATTTAATCAGTCACTTGAATTAACACATCTATATTCAATAGAAAGGCCAAAAAGTGCAATATAACAGTGGGGATAAATTGACTTTTTAAGGGTGTTCCCATATTTGGTTGGATTAAAACAAAACCTGGTGGGATTGCTCTGTTCATTTGTTCATTTGAATAAGTGTGAACACTTCCATGAATAGATGGGTCTCGCTCCACTTCCAAACGAACTCTGGTGTGGTTCAACTGAAATATGAAAGTAACACTGACCAAAAACACGTAAACGAACCAAAAACAGGACGTGATGTCACAAGATGCGACCCTAAAAGACAATGCTTAAGCATACCTGGCATACCTGGATGTTGCCCATCACAGTTCGGTACAGGCGTCAGAACCGAGTCTCCTCGCAGCAGATCTTCATTTTTGATCAGAATATAGCTTTCGCTTGCAGATGCAATACAACACAAGTCTTTCACAGAGATAAGACACCGATTAACAGGAGTGATTGTCTCATAAAAAGATTTATTTTCTGCCTAAATGTACAAAGGCAAGTTACAGTATTGTATAAAAAATGTAGCAATTTACACTTTACATGAGAGATCCCTAGGAAGAGAGAGTGAGACAGTGAGGAAAGGCAGGGAGAGAGAGAGAGAGAGAGAGAGAGTGCGCGATGGTTTACAAAGAGAAATGGATCCAAACACAGAAATGAAGAGGTGTAAACATCTTTCTTTCAAGTACCAATGACTGACACAGCTCTCTATGGGCGTGGGGTGGGTGGGGCTTAATTAGTGATGTGGGTTGTGGGAGGGGCCTAATAAAAACAGAAAACTGAAGAGAAAATAAACCAAATTCTCTTCTCTTCCCATAAGGATCACACAGGGAGGCTATATTAGCACCGTTGGAGACAAATCTGAACACATGTTTGAACTGTTGAAACAAAACCGGCCGTTTCATCTTTCTAAAAGGAGAAAACATGAACTAGAAAAAAACAACAGCAACAACAAAATGAAGAACCCTCAAAAATAAATTAAAAACAATCAAGCGCTTTTTCCTCAACAATTATGAATCAAGTCACCAGACAGCACAGGCTAAACGCGCAAAGACAGAACAACTAAAAAGTGAGTTTATTACTATATATATATAAATCCTAACTCTCTCGTATTAGTGCGAGCGTTTTGAGACCAGTGCTGCAGTTTCACTTAAGTTACCGTTTAGGCTTTTAGTTAGAGAAAGCTGGTCCTAAATCAGCATAAAAAATGTTGTTTTACATCACCACGGAGAGAAGGAAATAAAAACGGCGGAGAAAATCTGGCCAAACAATAAAAAATGTGCGATTTTTAGCATGTTGCGGCATTGAAAATATCACAATACCCTGCAGATACTAAACATTTGCTGACGATGAGGATGAAAAACAAACGGTCACGTTTAACATGAAGGGAGGGGGGAGCCGCTGTAAACGACTTACGTTAAGTAATGTCTTCTTCCCTGTGCCGCTCAATAATCGAGTTTCAATGCGGCTGAGAGCGATGAACATGCTAGGATGACTTAAAAGGCTCAGATTTCAATAATAATGCTCTCCTGAGAGATTGCGATTCAGACAATAACTGCATGTTGATGAACTGGAAAGACTAGCACCAGACTCGGGTTCCCACAGTTCCCATCAATCCCTCTTGACATATGGACGTGCCATTGCTTTTAAGTCTCGCAAGGGTGTGGACTAAAAATCCTGTGACGTTATATTAAAACTTTTGCGCAAAAAGATGTGCTTCTAAAACAGTTTCAAAGCAGAGTGAGACTGACTTGAAGAGTGTTGAAGAGGAGGGGTAGAAAAAGTAGTTAAAAAACAAAAACACTTCCAATATAAAGCCGTTATACCAGCTAAACGTTGATATCATGTCAACAATGGTAGAAAAAAAAGGCTAACAGACAAAAAATAAAATAAAAGAGAGAGAGAGAGATAGTAAGAAAATCCGATAGCATTCAACAACTGTTTTTTAAAATAATTCCTTTGTACAATATATACAGAAAGCACATAGTGAGGGAGATAAGGAAGGAGTTGCTTTGCTCTCTGTTTGGGTTAATGCTTTTACCGAGCGCTGGGTAAAACCAGAAGAAAGCGTGTTTTCCAGGTGTGGTTTTCCGAGTCTGTGGATCAGTGAGAACTGACCCAACCCAAGGTTAAAGAAGTCCAGAAGATGGAGGCCAAATCTAAGCCTCTTTTGGGGTTATCTTACTCAAATCGCTCTAAGCTTTCAAGGTTTGCCCCGTTTCGGACTTCAATCCGCAAGCAGCATATCAATGAAAACTGTCAATCATCGCAAGCCGGAAAAAAAATCCGTAAATCCAGTCTGGAAGTCAATGCTCCATCTACCCTCCACCACCCGGATCATCCAAACGTCAGAAGGCCCATCATGTAACGACATCAGGTCATCGCTTAAAGCGATAGTTAGCCCACGGTTTAAGTCATCCTTGGTGTATATGACATTCTTCTTTCAGACAAACACAATTGGGGTTATAAATTAAAAACGTCCTGGATTTTCAAAACAGAAACGGCCATTATAAAGCTTGGAAGAGCTATATTATTTAATAATATAACTTCGATTGTATTCGTCTGAAAAGAAGAATGTCATAAACACCTAGGATGGCTTGAGGGCGAGTAAACCATGGGCTAATTTTCATTTTAGGGTGAACATCCCTTTAACGACCGATGCGAAGCCCCGTCGCCCGTTCGAGAACAAAACATTTGCCTTGCGCTGCAAAACGGCCAAAGTGACTTTGGGCTATTTGTTCATGATCAAAAGGAACGAGAAAGAATGACCGTCAAAGACAGGGAAGTGCATTAAAAACTGCCTGTTGAACAAGGAACTCAAGTATGTTGAAACGACGGCTTCGCAACGGGACTGCCCTGAATGAACTGAGTGAGGAAATCAAGCTTTATCCACTTGCATAGTGTCCACGAAGAGATGTGTGAAGATGAAGATGCTGGAATCCTTCGGGGGGGAAAACGACAATAATCCTTATGGCTCTAGAGCAGCAGTCCAGAACATCCGCACTCCACGCTTTAAACACAATGTAGTGACTTCCAGGAATGTCTTTGCATTCATTGAAGATTTCCCACACTCTGTAGGTCCGTGTGTGTTTTCCGCATTGTGCGTGTCTCCTCTCTCCTGAGTATGTTTCCAGCAGCACAGAGAGGGAGGCGTATGGATCTGCTTTTTCTCCCGTCTGAAGGCGACCGAGAAGAAGTCCGGGGGAAAAGAACCATAAGGAAATCAGGAACATCATTGAACTGATGTCATAAGCTCCTCCACACCATGTCCTCATGTGAACCAGTCACATTTCTGCAGAAAAGCGGCTAGTCACTTCTCCCTGGAGAGGGAACGAGAACACACAAGAAAACTTGAATAACTGATGCATACAGTCAAACCAAGAATTATTATATATTTTGGGACACTATAGGAGAGCAAAATAAAGTAAACTGACATATTCTACCCAAGTATTCTTCATACAGTAAAATATTATATTATTCCTCCACTTTGAGCTGATGATGTTCTGATGAAGTGTGTTTTCTGTAATTGCTAATGCTCTGAACAACATGAAGCATTGCTTGGTCACTGGTTGAGCTAAACTGGTATTATCTAATTGTGGAGTTAAATTTAACAGATATTCAACATAATTCATGTGTGAGAGTCGAACAGAAAGACGGACAAAACCAGTCAAATATCATCTGATTTCTGCTCGTATTTTACTACCGTTTTCAACTAAATGATAATGTGAGAAATGTTGAAGGTGTCTGAATAAATTTTGGTTTTACTGTATATCCTTCATTATATGTAAAGGCCTTGGTATATAAGAGACTTTCACCACTAGAGGACAGCAAAGACTGTCCAGTCAAGAATAAAACCCTTTTTAGGGCTGGATGATAAATCAATATTATTATGGTAGCAATATAAAAGTTAACTAACGTTGTGAATACTGTGCTGAGTGTAATGCACTTTTTATTGGCCATTAAGTTCCTAAAGACCGTGTTATTGAGTTCAATTTATTTCTGCAGGTCATTTCTTTGAAATTGTCCTATTTGAAGAATTGGTTAAAAATACAGATTAATGTGCATGTGCATGGACGTCCCCCATAGCATTTTGTTTTTCGCGTGCTTTACAACACTTAATTGTAATTACATATGGTAAATATTGCTGATTATCACTATGCATTATGTTGTTGGCCCACATAAAAAATTGAGTTCAATTAGTCAAGAATGCAAGGATGTACGATTATTTTACTACAATTCTACCAAGTAACAATGACTTTGATAACGGCAAAATAATAGTTCCTCTGATATAAGAAAAAACTCAATTTTAAACAATTTCAGCGCAAAAACAAACAGATTTAAATCAAATATTTAAAAGAGGTGAATTTTACAGTATATTTAATAGCTATATCGCCCAGCCCTAAAACATATAAGCTAAATGTTTGGTGCTTGTAGATAAAGATGAACCATCTTACCATTCTCACCTCCGTGCGGGGGGGTATAGTGAAGGGGCAGAGGCTTGTTGACTTGCAACAATGGCTGAAGAGGAGATACCTGTGAGATGGAGAAATATCTTAGTTACGTATCAGTGGATAAGAAACTTTGGAGTCAAGAAATTTTACAGTCAACCTAAACTAAACTACAGTCAAACCAATGTATTCAGACACCTTCAACATTTCTCACATTATCACAGTTTATTCACTGTAGTTTAGAAAATGGTAGTAAAATATGAGCAGAACTCAGTTGATATTTGACTGGCTTTGTCCTTTCTTCTGTTAGACTCTCACACATGAATTATGTTGAATATCTGTCAGCTTTTGGATTTTGAATTGCTTACCTGTAGCATAAGACAGGTCGTACTGTCCTGGGAGTAGTGGATAGCCTAGATGATGGTGGGAAGGCATGATCCGCTGAGAAGGTGAAGATCTTGGACGTTCACCGTCTCTTTCTCGGTCACTCCCACTTCGGTCTCTTTCGTGGGGCATCTTTTCACCCACTGTGGGCGATTTGCTCTTGTACTGGTTAGCATGCTGATGCAAGATGTCCAGGGCTTTGGAGTCAGACGCAGACTTGCCGCTCACCGTAGGACTGGCACGAGCCTTCTCACCCTCCTCACCAGGGGGCATCTTACTGCCATATGGAGAAAAAGGGTAACCTGGCGACAGGTACGATCCTAAAGAAAGGTGAAAATACCAGTGACACTTTAAATATCAGTATTCTGGTTATAGGTGAAATTCAAATAAGAAAATTAGGGATGCATAATATATATCGGCCACCATATCGGTACCGATATATGTTTATTTTTAATGTTATCGGCCTGATATACAACTATTGCACATATATATAATCATATATGTACATATAGTTTCTCTTTATGTATGTGTGTATATATGACATCTATGGTGGTATAAAGAAATTAGAAATGCACGATATATCGGCCACCATATCGGTACCGATATATGTTTATTTTTAATGTTATCGGCCTGATATACAACTATTGCACATATGTATAATCATATATGTACATGTAGTTTCTTTTTATGTATGTGTCTATATATGACATCTATGTTGGTATAAAGAAATTAGAAATGCATGATATATCGGCCACCATATCAGTACCGATATATGTTCATTTTTAATGTTATCACTATCAGCCCGATAAGAATATATGGCTGATATACGAGTATTGCACATATGTATAATTATATATGTACATATAGTTTCTCTTTATGTATGTGTGTATATATGATATGCATGCATATGTATAATTTGTTTGCATTCTTCTCAAATTGATTTGATTTATTTTTCTCTTTCCTCACGTTTATGTATTCTCACGTTTATGTATTCATACGTAACTTCTGCTTATAACATTCAGGGATGAGGGCAATGTGAAGCCTTGTTTTATCATATCGTATTGCTGTTAATGTTTTTATTTATGTAAAGCTTAATAAAGAATAAAAAAAATGTATTAAAGATTTTGTACTAAAAAATAAAAGTTAAACTTTGAATGATATATTAAAGCCAATAAATAATGGATTATTTCCTTCAGCTGAGACACTTCAGATGTGCACTGTTCAACATGATCGTTTTGCATTGCTTGAAATATGATTGAAATCACTTCAAAAAATGAGAATAATTCAGTGCTACATGTGCAGCGCAAGTGCCTCATATCGGCTACATAAAATTATAATGAGAACATTATAATTGTGTGCTTGGGATATGGCTTTTAATGATGAGACTTGTTTTTGAAATCAGGCACTCAAATTATAGAAAATATTCAATTTATCGGCCAATATATCGGTTATCGGCTTTCAAATATAAAGAATAATCAGTTAGCGATATTATCAGCCAAAATGTTCAAATCAAGCAAAAAATGACTGCAAAAAACCTAGTTACCTCAACAAAAGGACTTACCAGGGTAATTCTGCATCATTACAGCAGGCATCCCCCTGTATCCTGGATGGCCGGTGTCATAACCTTGACCATAGGGGTATCCGTGCATATAAGACATATATGACTGGTGCTGCGGCAGAGGTGAGGAAAACTGCATATGTGCTCGTGGATCTTTGCTAACTCCTCTATGCTCCTCTGGGGCTGATGAAGTTCGTGGTTCTGCCACTTCCTTATTTTCCTCTTTAGAGGGAGTGTCTTTATGACGTGACCTTTCATCTTTGCCCTTCCGGTCTCTCTCACGGTCTCTGTCCCGATCTCGGTCCTTTTCTCGCTCACGATCCCGTTCTCGCTCTTCCTTCCACCTCTCCTCATCAATCTGTTTCTGAGCATCAGGGTACTTGCTGGGGTAAACGTAGGGCCACAGTCGAGAGTCTGGCTCCTGGAAAAGAAAGTGGAGTTAGAAATGCTCATCGTGAAAGAAGGTTAAGTGCATAGTGAGGGTTCTTGTAACTATTAGGGCTCAAGAGTCTCAAGAAAGCCACGAAGGTTAAAACTGTGATGAAAATGACTCTATAAATGGTATAGTATAAAGAAACCAAAATAATGTTTAAGTTCCATACCTGTCTATACATGTACATTGCCTGCTCCATAGCCGATCTTCCAGACTCGAGGCCTGATTTCTGCTCATCCTTTGTATGATGGCCAGCTTCACTTAGCTTCATTTTCAAACCCTCACCTTGCTGGGTCTGTCCCTTGCCATCTTCCCCTTTGGGGATAATGACTGACTTGCCAGGCTCTGAGAGATCTTTGGGCTTGCTCTGCTGGGACGGCTTGCCCAAGTCTGAGATGCTTGGCGCCTTAGACAATGTTGGAGGAACCGAAGCTTTCTGCTTCCATTCTTCTTGCTTAATGGAGGCTTCTCTATCCTTCTGAGCAGCCTCTGATTTCTTCTCTGCAACACGATGCTGCTCAGCAGCTTGTCGTTGTCTGTCCTCACACTGTTGCCTGTAAGCTGGACTTGTGTTCATCAGGTGGTTATGATAGGTCTGATCTGGTGAATAGCCAAAGGGAGGTACATAAGCATACTGATTGTAATAGAGGGGCTGCATGAACATGCTGGTACGCTGTTGAATGACCGAAGGCTGCTGTTGTGGTTGCTGTTGCTGTTGAGAGGGTACACCTATATCTGGCTTTCGTTCTTCAAGCGGCTCTGATTTGCCCTTGTCAATCCCTGGTTCCGGTTCCTCCTCTTTTTTCACCTTCACTGCAACATCTTGCAACGTGTTGGGAGGGTTAGAGACTCCTGGACTGGGGTTTGGGTTGCTATAATTGGGTGAGTAATATGTATCGTAACCTGGATAATAAGAGGGGTCTTTGTTTGGTGGTTGGGATGGGAATAGAGATTTCTTGGCACCTTCCCGAACTGCCTGATCCTCAGACTTGACCTTTATACCATCCACTTTGCCCTCACCATCCTCCCCTGCATCTGAGATGTCAGAGTATGCTGGGCTATTGGTCTTCACAGAAGAGTTATCTGCCCCATTTTGGGTAACCACATGCAGTGGAGTAAGAGGCTGTGCCATCCCACCACTTTCTATCCGACTAGCCACGCCAATAGAAGGACTGGGGGAATTGTCCGAAAAACTGTAGATTTTGTCCGCCTCTGCTTTCATGCTGGCTAGCCGACTTTGATGTGGATCCGTGGATCCATTTAACAGTCCCTCACTCTTACTGCCTTGGTCTGAGCTTTCAGAATATGGGCTCTTACCTTCTTCAGGTTTCCCTCCTTTAGAAGGGGCTTTTGGACTGTCTCCTTCCTTACTGCCCTCCTTCTTTTTCTTATCTTTCTTTTTCTTGTCCTTAGAACCACTCAAGACTGGGTTGATTGAGGGATCTCCAATTACTGCAGGTTTGGGTTGAATGGACTTTAGTTGGGGGCTCTTGCTAATGGCCTGGACCAGAGAGCCCATACTGGCGGACGAGCCAGAATTGGGAGCAGGGAAGCCAGAGGTTGGTAAGTTGTACAATTGCTGTGGAGGTAAAGAGGGAACCAGGGGTCTTGCGGACTTCATTGCCTTCTGAGCAAGTTTTTCTGCCTTGGTACTACTCCCAGACTTCTTAGCTTTATCCAAGCCTCTTTTATCATCAATGCCATCATTGCTCGTCTCATCTGTAAGACATGGGCCATCCTCACCGCCATCCATGGGTACAACAGAGTCATGCTCAGTTTCTGGTTTCTTCTTGCCAGGCTGCTTCGAGCTGAACTTTCCTGATGAGGGTGATTGGCTCTGGGCATCAAATCCTCTACCTTTGGGTGTGTTCGACCTTGCAGGAGACGCACAACCCTTCTGGGAAATGGATGCACCATTGCAACTACCTGACTCGGGGTGCAAAGTGGAGTCCTCACCATACTCACTATCACCATCTATGTCCAGCTTGATATCATCATCATTGTGAGCACGAGCCTGGTGATATTTAAGTCCATTAATGTGCTTGTATTTCTTGTTGCAGTTGGGATGGGGGCAATCAATGAGAACCGGTGAGGGGCAGCTGCGATCTAAAGAAGGGGGCAAGGATTCAGCTTTGATGTTGGACAGGGGAAGAATAGTATGAGGTATTCCACTATTCGAATTGGTTCGCATTCGTTTGCTACCCTTAGTATCCTCAGAACTAGAATTGGGCTCCATGTCTGAGGCAGGTTTGTTCTTGCGTTTGTTAGCAGATGAAGGACTAGCCTTTATATCCTCAGGGTTGCTGTTTGGTGGGGTTCGCCGCTCAGAGGAATTCTGACTGCCCCGTCGCCCTTTGCTGTTCGACGCGGCTCGAGTCTTGCTGTTGTTGCTGCCTTTGTTATCAGAAGAGTTACTGTTTTCATTTACTGGCGTATTGCTATTGGGCCTCATTCTTTTACCCCGTCCACGCCCATTCCTCATCTCCAGGTCACTTGTGGGTGACTCACAGAACCTGAAGAAGTGTAAGGGAAAAATTAATTTCTACTGAATATGAAAAACCGACTCTTCCATAGACATTCAAGGGATAGTTCACCCAAAAATTTAAATTAGCCCATGATTTACTCACCCTCAAGTCATCCTAGGTGTATATGCCATTCTTCTTTTAGACAAATACAATCGGAGTTATATAAAGTTAAATGTTTTGGCTCTTCCAAGCTTTATAGTGGCAGTAAATGGCCGTTAAAGTTTTGAAGATCCAGCCATGATAAAAGCGCTCCACACGGCCCATTTTTAAAAATAACTCCGATTGTATTCGTCTGAAAGAAGAATGTCATGTACACTTAGAATTACTTGAGGGCGAGTAAATCATGGGCTAATTTTTAATTTTGGGTGAACTATCCCTTTAAATTCAAAATCAATAATCAAATAAATAAGTTCCATCCATTTTCTACATAAAACTCACAATTATCTGCTAACCACAAAGGCTGCTAACAGTCCTGCAGAGATTCTAGGATGAGAAATAGCCTCTCTTCTAAATCAGCCTCTACATTTGGATGCTATAAGTGCTTCTCCAGTGGGCCCTGGAGAGCCAGCAACGTGTTGTGCGTTTTTATCCTCTCGTTATCCCTGATCTAGACAGCAATGCTTGTTCTGATGAATGGCACGCAGTACCACACTGCTGCAGGATTAAGCCAGGGTGACCTGGCTGCTGATTAGATGCAGTGTGATAACATCCTCCAACAGATAAGGCACAAGAGCAACCAAAGAGCTTGATCAAAGCACAGGCATTGAACCATAGTAAAACAAAGCAGTTAAGAAAGCTACCTCAGGGCCCCCGGTCCTCAGAACAGAACTGAGATTTATAAGGAGCAGCAGAATGGCAAGATGATATACATCACAGGTTGATATGTAATGTTAGAGATCTTTAACTGGATAAAAACTCTATCGGGAGTTGTCCAGTGGGTTATAAGGAACTAGATAGGCTACGTTCTATTTCGATTGTTGGTTATACAATATTTTCATGACATGCAGCTGTTTTTTCAGCGTCTCAAGGCTTGATTTTCAGATGGTGCGTGAAGTCACTGTGTACAGCTCTGTAAATTGTCATCGCCGTCTAACTAACTGGACCACAAGTTAACACCCTGTTTGCTTTACACTAAAGGTTCTTGCACCCCGAGTCCGAAATTGTCATCTGGTGAAAAAATAAATACGACCTCACGTTGTGTCAATCACATTTACATACTGCCCCCGAAACATCTGTCCGTCATAAAAAAATTCGGATTGGGTTCAACATTTTGCGTTTTTTCGAATCCGTAGCAAGCCTTTTGAGAGGTGTTTGGACAATTTAGAGCCACCGTACAAGGGCATATCGAACACACAGTGTTAGTAACTAACGTTATAAAGTTAACTATTAGCCAGTTACTGGCCAGTTGTATTTCATGAGAAACATATGAATTCACGTGCTGTAATAAATCCAACAGACAGGACTCTCTAAACTGCGGCGCAAACAAACATGACGGTGCCCATCTCACGTTACAGATCAAGATCATTTATAAAGGCTAAACAAACTCACTTACACGTATTTGAGAATCGGACTAGAAGATAGTTAATTTTTATAAATAAAAGTGCTACATCTGTCATACATTCGGGGGGGGGGGGGTATTTGTAAAGAATACTCATTGTTTAACGGTCTACTCTCTGCTGTCTCAAACAACGACATCACTTCCTGTCGGCCCCCGTAACTTCCTTTTGGCTGCAATTCGCAACCTCACCACTAGGCGCGCTAAAACTTACACACTGCACCTTTAAGTGTTAAATCTCGCAGTGGAGAATTCTGAGAATTCTCAAAAATACCGAACGACTATCACATTCATCATTAATTGCGTTAATCTGTTCCAAAGACTACACGCAGCTCCGACTGGAACGCAAATATACAGAAGAAACGCATATGAATGCACTGCATCATCTTCACCGGTGCCCTCCCCAGGGTTAATGCTGTGTTAGTAATGTTTGCCTGCAGCCAGAAGATAAAGTGCACCATGGAAATTCAGTCTTTTCTGGAACATTACGATTAGAAATCAGAAGCCGCCTCCTAAGGCAGAGTCTCTTAAATGTACACAGTATTATGTACAGCAAATTATTTGTACCATGCAGTGCTGGTATCTAACCTTGGGCAGGCTACAGCATGATAACTAAATGTCGGAGTGTCTGTTCTGTAAAAGGCATGTGCAAGGTCAAAGAAGGAGGCTCCTTCAGACCGAAGCTCATTATTATTGCCTCAAGCTGTAATCAAGGGTCATGCGAGAAGTTCACGGCATTAGGACCCAGCAGAATGCAACTGAAATGCTGGTCTGTAAGGGAGTACTAACGCTTTAGATCGATGGAAGCAGGAGAAAAGAATAGGGAGGAGGGGAATCAATTCCTTCATGATGCTGCATTTCAAAAGGTGAGTGTCAGAAAGGGGTGGGGGACATTTTGACATATTACCCTCCAATGTTTCCTTCATTACTGCAAAATCCCGGAGGAGATGAAAGGGTCTAGCAGGAGTGTGCAGTGGCCACAATCAACTCAAACAGATACACTGTATAGAGCTCTACACTGCATTTGGTTACACTTTATTTTAAGGTCTCATTGTTACAGATATGAAAACCTTTTCACAATATTCTAATTTTGAATTTAGGGTTCTCATAAGCTGTAAGTTATAATCATCAAAAGTATAACAAGGCTTGAAATATCTCACTTTACATGTAATGGGTCTACTTGTTTCACCTTTTAAGTCAAATTACGGAAATAAATGAACTTTTGCGCCATATTCTAATTTTTCGAGTTTCACATGTACTTACTATAGGTTAAGGATTTGGTTGAGGGTTAGTTGCATGTAATTATGCATGATTTATGGTAAGTACATGTAAGAAGGACACTGTGTGACCATGAATTCAAATATTCACCCTGTGCAAAATTCAAATAGGTTTTCATTTCATAGCAAACTAAACGTGTATTTGTAAATTAGGTTGAATTAATCCTACACAAACAGTACAGGCTTGTATATGATAATTCTTACCGTGGAGGAGCCCAGTCATGTCGAGTGCAGTCTAACAGGGTGCCCACATACGTCTTGTTCCTCCAGGTAACATTTACAACCAGCATACCTGAAGAAAAGACATCAAAACAGGAAATAAGTCCTCAAGCACTGAAACGCATATAACAAAGTTGATTTATTTTACTTCACTAGCCGAATGAATGCACCTTTTAGCTTAACAGATCACAAATATGACGCTGGACGAGACGAAACTGCACATATCTAATTGGGGATCTGGGTTTTAGATGCAGCAAATATTACGCCCGTGAGCACGATTAGAGTATTTAGACTAGTTGGCAAAAAGATAAATGACTGCTTGTTGGCACAAGCACACTTATACATTCCTCAGCACAGATGTCCAAATCTAGAGCACCTGGTGTATGAAGACCACAGGAAAGCTATTAGTATGCAGAGAAGTAAAGAACAGACATTGCTGTAGCATTTCTCTCTCTGTATTTATATATACATGTGTGTGTGTGTGTGTTGTGTTAGTTTTGGACTGGACTCAGCTGAGGTATATAAAAAGACTCCAGGTGTCTAGATCTGTAAACATTATGTCCAGTTCCTGCAGGTTTTTGTGTGTGTTTGACATTTATAACAGCGAAAAGTGCCAAAAGAGTGACAGACAGAGATCATCCGTCGCTTCACTGAGTCTCGAGTGTAACATCAGACAGCAGCAGGATCATCTTTTAAAGATGTAGTTTTAGGAAACATTAAGTGCCTGGAATATAGTACACACCTCTGCGACTCCCCACCCTCAAAGCAATTCCACCGTGCACACACACACACACACACACACACACACACGCACACACCCGGTTCACTATGGTTTTTATTAGAGCCCGACCGATAAAGGATTTTGAAGGCCGATACAAATATTTTTGGGTTTTAAAATCCGATATATCGGCCGATATTTTTTTTTTATTAAATATTGTTGGATTTCACACACGTGTAAAAGAAAAGCGAACTTTTCTGCACAAGATGCGTTTGATACTTTTTCTCTATGTCTAAATGTTCACTCCTCGCAAGTATAACTTACATTTTACAATGCAGGGACTGTAACTAGAGATATGCTAGATATAAATACAGTAATTACTTTATTTAGGCCGAAAAAGTTCATTGTGGTTTCCAAGCTCATTAAAGGGTTAGTTCACCCAAAAATGAAAATTAAGTCATTAATTACTCACCCCCATGCTGTTCCAACCCCGTAAGACCTTCGTTCATCTTCAAGACACAAATAAAGATATTTTTGATTGAATCTGAGGGCTGGATCAGTCCTACATAGACTGCCTAAGGGACTGGCTCTTGACGGCCCATAAAGTCATTAAAGAAAAGGTTTAAATATTCCATGTGCCTACAGCGGCTCAATTATAAGTTTATCAAGCGACGAGACTACTTTTTGTGCGAAAAAAACATAAATAACGACTTTATTCCACTATTCCATTACTTTCTTATGGGCGCATGCGCGAGAACTGAGACGAGGACGTTCTCCTTCGTCTACTTCTTGTTAACGGCTGCTCACCGCTTAGGAGTTTTACCGCCCCCTACCGTATAAGATGATGTGCTGATATAGCTGGAAGCGCAAAACTTTCTGTTTACAAGCAGAGGAAGATGCGCGCTGTACATACGCTTTTCAATTAGCGTATTTTCCGCACTATAAGGCGCACTTAAAAGCCTTTAATCTTCTCAAAAAACGACAGTGTTCCTTATAATCCGGAGCGCCTTATATATGGATCATCATCTTATACGGTAGGTGGCGGTAAAACTCCTAAGCGGTGAGCAGCCGGTAACAAGAAGTAGACGAAGGAGAACGTCCTCGTCTCAGTTCTCGCGCATGCGCCCATAAGGAAGTAATGGAATAGTGGAATAAAGTCATTGTTTATGTTTTTTTCGCACAAAAAGTAGTCTCGTCGCTTGATAAAATTGAGCCGCTGTAGGCACATGGAATATTTAAACCTTTTCTTTAATGACTTTATGGGCCGTCAAGAGCCAGTCCCTTAGGCAGTCTATGTAGGACTGATCTAGCTCTCAGATTCAATCAAAAATATCTTTATTTGTGTTCCGAAGATGAACGAAGGTCTTACGGGGTTGGTACAGCATGGGGGTGAGTAATTAATGACTTAATTTTCATTTTTGGGTGAACCAACCCTTTAATGTTAACGTTAGCGGTCTTCCACTGATGATAGTGGCATTAGCTAGCTTTGTGGTTAGCTAGTCTATGATTAGCAATAGATAACATCATACTGCAAATTGTAAAGCATACATTTTCAATATAACAGGCCAAGGAGAGATGATTAAAGCGTGTTTCGTCCGTTTTTATTTTATTTTTTAAATATTCATTTATCGGCCATTTATAACTGCTGATACCGATATTATGGAAAATGCCTAATATCGGCCGATATATCGGTCTGGCTCTAGTTTTTATACTTTCCAAACCATACATTCTGTCCCCTTAACCTAACCCTACCCATCACACACACACACACACACACACTTACACAGCAATCAAGGGTCTACCCTTTCCAAACACACAAAATTGCTCTGCTGTGCTTTTGAGGGCCGGCTCTGCAACCTCTCGTAGTGACTGACGGACACACCGGAGATCTCTGTTTGAGTTCAGCGATCCGCTATTCACAACGGGCACCGATCGCCTGCGTCTAAAACAGCTTATCAAGAGGTGCAGGCAATAACAATTTCACACCGCAGTCGACTGCAAAGAGAGACAAAACCCGTCCCTCCGTCCGTGTGTGTGTGTTTAGTTCTGCCTTTCACACTGCGTTTCCTTGACAACTGGCTGTTCACTCGTTCCATCTCAATGACACAAGTGGGGAAATTGAGCAGAATACTCGAATCATGTCTCCAAATGGGAAATGTTGATGATTGGCCTTTTGTACGAGACTGAAAAAAATACCAATACATCTGCTAACAATTAGCATAACATCAGCTGTTGTTGGAATGGCAATCGTTACCAATGAAACCGAACCCGAGACCACCGATGGGGCAAGATGAACCAGCCTGCCAATCCATTGCTAGTTACACAACTTAGCCTGATCATATCCATCTGAACTCCCATCTCTACTTTCCCAGAGCCAGATTAGCAAGATTTGCTTCAACATTAGAGATTTTTAAATCTTTGCTTAAAACTCATTATTTTTCCGATTGCTTTTAAATGTTCCTTGACGATTATTTTTGATTTTCTTTTCCAATTTAGTTTAAAAACGGTCTCTGATTTTATTTGTGAAATAAGTTCTCCTGCTTGTGTTTGTATTGATTTAATCCGATGTTTTAAAGCCGCTATAGAAATCCACCAAAATTGAAAATTTAATGTCATTCTCCCAATCAGGGTTTGAAATGAAGACGTCAAATGCGTGTAAAATCGTCAGTGGCGGCTTACGATGTCAAATCACGCTTTGTTACTCAATGTTTGCTCACTTTGCTGGGGATGTTTGTTTGTAAGACAAATCTGTGTAGATTTAGCGCAAATACTCATCAATAGTCATATTAGTCCTCATGATATATTAAATAAAAGCTCAGAATCGGCTTATATCTGGCTCACTTGAACACACACATGGTTATGCAACAAATAAAGGCGCACTTGTTCACTTGCACTGAAGTAATAGCGAATATTAAAAAGGATTCGGTTAACAAAAAAGATATTTTTCAACATCCGACGCGTTTCTGATGTTCTTTGTACTGTATTGATCAGAATTTTGGTGAAAAGGATGAAAGAGGATTGTTTGAATAAGAAATGAAAGAATGAAATCCAAATTTTATAAAATATACATATTGCATAGTTAGTCTGTTTTTTTTGTTTTTTTTTTGGCTATAAGAAGTTCTGAATCTCCCATAACTTAGCAATTTAGGAGCCAAATTGGCCGGCGAGTACAAAAACTAGCTACCAAACGTATGATGTTATTTCTAATGGCACGACGTGCAAGAGCTTAATGCCTGCACCCTATAAAAAGTAAGCCGTGATCGTAACCCAGTCTGATTCTTTCAGTTTCAGAGCCTCATTAAATCCCACTCAAAACAATCCACGACGGCACAGGCTGAGAAACAGGTGTGTGTGCTCACTTCCAGAAAAAATATATACTCTTCCAATAAAGCGTATCAATGCACAGGTGTGCCACAAGCACAATGAAAACACTGGATATGTGTGTGTGTGTAACGCGCATTCCCTGCCGGTGACCTCTACGTGTCAGCAAGTCTCCGGTCGAAACCTGAGCACTAGTCGTCAGCTTTGAAGAGACATTTGCACCCTTGCACCGGAGACCTTTACTGCAGACTACTTGAGTTTTTATAAGCTGAGAGAGCGAGAGTCACACGATGTCTGCTGTATAACTGCAGGTGTGGCTGCAAATCCTCCCGCATGGCTCATATTTCCACAGAACTGCTTCATTCTGTGAGTGAGAAGCCCTGACCTGCTCACACTATGTTTACCCAACATGGAAACTCAGAACATGATTAGCCTTTTGGACCCAGTTAGGTTATTTTTCTTTTTGGGAACCAAAATATTCGAAGAAATGTGTCTTTTGTACAACCATAAACTAACGCTTTCACAACCTAATACATAACGCTAATACAACCTATAATTAACGCTTACAGAGTATTATGTAATGGTTATTTTTAGGTTTCATTTTAATAACCAAAAATTGCCATCACAGAGTGTTGCACAATAATAAGTAGAAGATTAGAGCTGTCAAAAATATTTTCTTAAATATTTATTAGCAAAATTCTAATTATCTCTGAATTCTAAAGGCAATACTTAAAAAAAGTACTGTATCGTCTCCTATGCCCACAAGAGGGCGCAAGCGAGTGCAATTAGCAAATATAAACATCACATCTTTTATTGAAATGACATTACATTTTTTAACGATCGTTCTTAAAACGATTTATAAAAAATGTATAAAATATTTCCTTAATGTGCAAGGAAAATTAGGTTATAATAGTGCATAAAACTGTAAGTGCATCAGTAACGCGAGACGTTACTATATGAACACACATCATTCATAAACACTCACTTCTACTCATCTACATATCGTTTGTCAAAAACACCGGACGCTCATCTTG